ATTGAAACAATTATTTTAATTGTGTGATGATTGTTATGAGGTTTAACACATAAAAAGGTAACAAATAGCAAACATTGATCACCAGTCACTGACAAACACAATGACCAACAAGAACGGTGGTATAGGTTGATGTGGCAATCACGCTTCCCAATATTTGATATGATATTGTTATCAACTTGTTAACCAATACCTGACACTATATATATCACTTATCTGACCTCATTAACATGTAGTCTGTTAAACAACAGGTAAGTACTCTTTGTACTCCACTGTAGGCAGACATTACTCAATGCCTGGAGTAACGTGATTTGCTACATTAATGTGAGAATGTAACTTTATCTTATGTATGTTTTATATACTTTTACATGACACCAGTGAAGGTCCGGGTTAGGATAGGTCAGCAACCCATGCTTGTAGTAGTAGGTGACCAACGGGTTGGGGTGGTCAGGCTCGCTGACTTGGTTGATGCATGTCATTGGTCCCAATTACGTGGATCAGTGCTCATGATAGCAATCACTGGATTGTCTGGTCCAGACTCGATTATTTACAGACCGACATCATATAGCTGGAATATTGCTGAGTGCAGCGTTAAACAACAAACAAACAAACAAACAAACAAACAAACATGACAGCGTGTCACTGATCATTGACTATATATAGAATACTAAACGAGCTCCCGTGTAATACCAATTTTATGAAACGAGTGAATAGTTCTGGTATCTGACGAGCGAAAGCGAGTCAGATACCACAACTATTCACGAGTTTCATAAAATTGGTTTTACACGAGAGCGAGTTTAGTATTTTATTTATTACTTGTCATTTATAATGTTTTTAGAATTATACTGTTGAGTGTAAATAGGCTGACACCTACACGATCCATGGCATAATCCAATTGAGTTTAACAGAATAATACTTCAAACAATCAAAAGTTGAAACGTATGAATTTAATATCATACAATGGTCCACCTTTAGAATTCAGGCGTTCGTCCCACAAAATGATCGTAGTGCTAAGGCTATCACAACTCACATAATTTAACTTAGACTAACGACTGTCGTTGCGCTAGAGTACGACCGCCTTGTGGATGGGGCCTTGCACCTCAAAGTTTACAATCACGTCACAATACCCGATGACGTAATTTGTTGAATTTTGTTGCAAGATCCATCGGCGAAACAATGCCATGTGACGTCAGCCTAGCAACAAGGTTGCTGGGGTCATCGAGTGTGCATAAGCTCCTCCCAGTGATCTATCATCTCCACACACAATGTCGTTGAATACGCCAAGGGATGTTGAGAGCTTTCAATATTTGTTCGTGAAACGTGTTCCGAGAGTACATAAGCACGCGTTTTGGTATTACACAATGTGTAATAAAGCTGTATGTTTATTAAACGGGTGATCTCTTCACGGGCAAGTAATAATATAAGTTACTAATGAAGGATATAGGCTTATATTCCTGGTACAGTTTGTGTGTATGTACAGTCAAGTCTCATATCATATGTTACACAGTGTTGTTTGTCATTGTGTAACGTGAGATCTACAACACTGACGGGTGATGGAGGGATACAGGGGCACAGCTTGGGGAAATTAAAGTGTAAGCAATCATATTGAATTACTTCAGAGCTCCAGATAACATTTTGAGCAATTGAGTTTTTACTCTAGGGTTTCTATTTTAATAGGATTATTACATTTTTCTTTGGGTAACCAATATTTTTTTACTCATCTATTCATCACTCTATTGGGTTTTTCCCCAAATTAGTAAACATTTTAAGATTCAGATAAAATGAAATAATGTTCTAAATATATAGGCTTTACTCGGAAAGTAATTTAGCTCGTAATTGTGTTTCGGAAATTAGCTCCTTTGTACGCATGCTGAGAAAGCTTCATTGGGTATTTACGCAAGCTGTTTTTGTACATTTTAGTTCTTCATTTAATGTGTGCGTTTCTGTACATTTGGGGGGGTATTTTACGCAAATATGCTGCTTATCTGTAGCTCTGTTACTTATTTTTGCATCATGAGCATTGATCCACGCAATTGGGACCGATGACATGCATCAACCAAGTCAGCGAGCCTGACCTCCCGATCCCATTAGTCGCCTCTTACGACATGCATAGTCACCTTTTACGGCAAGCACGTGTTGCTGAAGACCTATTCTACAGCCCATCTTCATGGTTCGAGCAACATATGTAAACAGGGATATCACAAAATATCCTGACCTCATTCTGTACATTACACATTTTAAGTATGCAACAGTTTGATTATTGTGATCAGACTCAGATATCCTCATGAAATATAAATTGTCAATGCAAGAGAATAACCACTCCAGATTATCCACTCTACAGATTCCATTTGGCGTAAGGGAAAAAAGCTGTAAAAAGGGTAAAGGAATTGTAACAATAAAAACAACAACATTTTATTTTATTTTATTTTATTTTATTTTATTTTATTTTATTTTATTTTATTTTATTTTATTTTATTTTATTCTATTTTATTCTATTCTATTTTATTATTTTATTTTATTTTATTTTATTTTATTTTATCTTATTTTATTTTATTTTATTTTATTTTATTTTATTTTATTTTATTTTATTTTATTTTATTTTATTTTATTTTTGTAACAGTTTTAAAGTGTAAGCACTTTCTTTTTGTGCTACATGGTTGCTATGCCACTGGGATAACTAGTTTATCGCCCAGACCCTTGAGAGAATGAGTGAGTGAGTATAGTTTAACATAGCTTTTAGCAATATTCCAGCAATTTCACAGCAGGGGACACCAGTAATGGGCTTCACACATTGTACCCATGTAGGAATCACACCCGCATCTTCAGGGTGACAAGCGAACACTTTAACCACTAGGCTACGCCACCACTCCATTAAATTAAGAAAGGAATCTGACTCAAGTCTAGAATGATTTGTCAAGTCTACATTGCTTCAGCAGATAATTAAGCATTGCCCTGGGCTCCATTTGGATATTATTTTATATTTTGTAGATATATATTTTTAGATAAGATAACTATTTTTCTGGGACTTAATGTCAGGCTAATGGTTGACTGTTTACTTGCCGGAGACCAAGTATTGATTCCCCACAATTCCCCAGAGAGTGCAAAATAAGCGCCTGCCCATTAACCCGTGGCTAGTTTGTTTTCTTTCTGGCTAATGAAAATAACATCTAGATTAGCCTGAAAACAGAAAGTTCCTGCCAAAACAGTCTGTAGCTAGATTTTAAATGGCTTATTTCTGATATCAGGGATGCACTGTAATATTTGTTATGCTTGACAAGTTGAAGCTTCTTTGATGTTGACACAGATTGAAATTCAGATCTTGTTCAATAAATTGTCATTCTCTGCTACCAGATTTCTCATACTAGTGAAAACCTTACTGGCCTACCTGGCTGAATGTTCAAATATTATTTCACACGCTGCACTTGAGCACTGAGTGTGAAGCCTATTCCTGGTGTCCTCTGAAGAGATGTTGCTTGTTACTTGATAAAAGCAGTGTAAAATCCGACTCACTCACTTGAGCCTAAAATGTCAAGCTGCAGTCACAAGTAACCGCATTCAAACACAGACACACACACACTCGTACACAAGCAGGGGCGGTGGGGTAGCCTAGCAGTTAAAGTGTTCATCTGTCACGCCCAAGACCTGGGCTCAATTCCCCACATGGGTACAATATGTGAAGTCTATTTCTGGTCTCCCCGGGGGCACGTGTGGCCCAGTCATCTAAGGCGCCGCGATTCGCTGTGCAGAGTTGCGTCCCTTGGGCACGCCAGAAACCTATGATTGTGGGTTTGAATCCCGGTTCGCCCCGATTATGTTTCTAGGTTTGTCAGCACCATACCCGTGCTCGTGGGTTTCACCGAAGTGGTAAACGTCTGAGACCTGCATCACTTGGGGCTTTCCTCCCACATTAAGCTGACACGCCGCGATATAACTGGAATACTGTTAAAAGCGGCGTTAAACCGAACTCACTCACTCACTCACTCTGGTCTCCCCGCCATGATATTGCTGAAAGCGCCAATACTCACTCACTCACACACGCACACACACATGCACATGCGCACACACATGCACATGCACACCTTGGGGATTCTATGTTAGATTCTATCTCCCCAGCAACTTCTGCTGGTCGTAAGAGGCAACCAAATGGCTCGGGTAGTCCGAGATTGTGTGATTGTGAGATTGTGTGATTGTGTGTCATTGTACCACGACAGCGTGGATCATTGTTCACAATATAAGTCACTGGATTGTCTGATCCACACTCAATTATTTATGAGGCTACCGTCATATTGCTTGAATATAGCTGTGTGTGGTGTTTAACAACACAAACACAAATTAATCTCACGAGGCTTAAGGAAAAAAATGTATGGATGTCAACTTCTTAACTATGAGGAACACAACGTTCGGAGTATATACTTACTCCTTCATCAGGTGCATGAAGAAGTAAGTATATAAGGAACTTGACATCCATAAATTCTCTTCCTTATGTGTATCACTTTTAAATACCTTTCAAAGACTTACTTACAACGCTTGTTAACAGTGTTTGAAATCATTTTAAAACCCAAGACATTGGGGCATGTAACCCATAAATGTTGCCTGCCCATGTTCAAAGTTACCTGCTCACATTCAAACATTATAAATATTGACAAATCACACAAAACTAAAAGACAAATCGCATCTCAAGTCAGTTGACATAATGCAAAATCACATGAATTGACAGGGAGTTATGATAAAAATGAATACAAAAGTACTCTTAAAATTATCTGCCAGACATTTGGGCAGGTGGAGCAAATTTTTATGCAGCCCAACAGAAAAGTTACCAGCCACAGGCAGGCCCATTTTCAAGGTCACAGCAGGCAAATCTGCTTTTGGAGTTGGAAAACGGTGTTGCCGCGATATCTCAAGAACTAATCGCTGGATTGTCTTCATATTTGGTACTATGGTGTATATACTGGCGGGGGACATTTCGTCACTTTGTGACAAATACTTGTTTCTTTCTGTTTCAGACGTTTGAAGTGCTACATTCGGACAATGAGGAGGACGACATGTCCTTCCAGTCAGCCGGCTCACACAGCCCACAGGGGTCCGAGATGTCCGACATCGTGGCAGGGTTCAAGGATGCCGACGAGCGGACAGTGTTTGAGCAACAGCTCAATCAGCTTCAAGAACAGCTCGTGGCTGTCATGATAGAAAACCAGACACTACGTGAGTGGGATTTTCACTTCCATTGTCTACACACTTACCTGGAGTGTATATTATAAAATGTGACTGTCCAAAAATAAGAAGCGACACGGGTGGCTCAGTTGTCTGAGGCCCCGCAATTGTAGCGCCGAGTTGTGTCCCTTTGGTACGCTAGGAACCTATGATTGTGGTTCGAACCCCTTCTTCGCCCCGATATGTTTCTAGGTTTGTCAGCAGCATACCCATGCTAGTTGCTTTCGCCAAAGTGGTAAATGTCTGACACCTACATCACTTTGGGCTTTCCTCCCCTAGTAAGCTCACCCACCATGATATAACTGGAATACTTAAAAGTGGCGTTAAGACCAATTCACTCATCTTAAAGAGTCACTGATTGGTGATTAAAAAAATAGCGCCTTTCCTACAATGCTTAGGCTTCGTCGTAATGTCAGGCTCGCTGACTTGGTTGATGCATGTCATCCTATTCCAAATGTGTGGATCGATGCTCATAATGTCAATCACTGGATTGTCTGGTCCAGACTTGATTGTTCACAGACCACCCTAATATAGCTGGAATATTGCTGAATGCGGCATTAAACAAAAAACGACAACTTGTAACAGACAAGGCAAAATGAGAATTGGTGATGTGATATTATTCCCTGATATGCTTTGTCCAGATTCTTTTATCTACTGGCTCCAGTGATAAGTGCTGCCAGTGCGGTATACAACAGCTAACAATCAAACACAGCATTAGAAATTTGCACTAGTCCTATAGTCCTTGCCAAACTGTCCAATGGTAAAGGTATCATAAGGACTAGTAGACATTTGCCCTTTTTAAGGGTTTTGCTATATGTTATCATTATAAGGACTAGTGGAAGAAAACTGTAAGTTTCTAACCCTGAAACAAATTGTGTAAACTGTGTCCATTATCTCACTTCAGAAACGGAGCTTCATGACTACCGCGAGAAGTCGTCTGTCGACAAACTACGCCAGGAGCTTGAATACCAGAAACATCGGAATGAAATGCTGGAGGAAAAATGTTTCTCCTTGGACAAGAAACGGTGAGTGGTCGACAGAGTACAAGGCTCCGCCCCCCCATAAACTGATGAACTGAACAGGTTGTGAGGAAGGGGAACGACACCCTGCTGACACACACAGAAGGAATGGCAACAGCTGCACTGTGACCCCAAGAGCTTAACCGAGTGACACAGTCCAGATACTGGCAGTCTATGGTTATGTTATGCTACAGGTGTATTTGTGCAATGGCTTTGAATACATGGCAGAATTTAGTACACAGACCACATATGTTTCTGTATTCATGGCCTTGTTGATTCTATCTAGCAGTATTCTGAGCAGGTAAACAGTGACAGTAGCCTGAGGTAGCAGGACAGTAGCCTATTATAGACTGACAGTAGCCTGGTAGTAGCCTAAAGTAGCCTGACAGTAGCCTGAGGTAGCATGACAGTAGCCTTTAATAGCATGAAGTTGCCTAACAGTAGCCTTTAGTAGCCTGAAGTTGTCTGACAGTAGCCTTTAGTTGCATGAAGTAGCCTGAAGTTGCCTTTAGTAGCCTGACAGTAGCCTTTAATAGCATGAAGTTGCCTGACAGTAGCCTTTAGTAGCCTGAAGTTGTCTGACAGTAGCCTTTAGGTGCACGCAGTAGCCTGAAGTTGCCTGACAGTAGCCTTTAGTAGCCTGAAGTTGCCTGACAGTAGCCTTTAGTAGCCTGAAGTTGCTGACAGTAGCCTGACAGGTGAGGTGATATGGGGTTTAACATCAGATCCAAGATTATTGCACTTGTATAGTGATGTGCATGCTCGTGTGGCTGCGTGTGCTAGTCTGGACTGATGCCAATTCATAGTGATAGCCCACTGAGATACCATGCCGCAGTTTAACATGAATACTACATTCAGACACAGTATACTGACTCCAAGCCAACCTTTCCTTGTTTTAGCCCCTCAATGCCGAGTGCCAGACAGGGTAACAACAAGTACCATCTTTTAACGTCTATTGGTGATCGAACCCCGAACCTTCCGCTATCTGGGCGTACGCTCTACCACTAGATCATTGAGAGCAGCCTGATAGTAGCCTATAGTAGCCTGACAGTAGCTTCTCATGAAGGAGTGTTGTCACCTGTAGCAGTATCATGCCCCATGAACTGAGCTGAAATGTCAGACATTTTGTAATGATGGTGATGTTGCATGATGCCCACCGTTCACATCTACATCTCTCTGATGCTTCAGCACCCGTGAAGATACCGGGGTAGAATAGGTCTTCAGCAACCGATGCTTGCCGTAAAAGGTGACTTTGCTTGTCGTAAAAGGCGACTAACGGGATCGGGTGGTCAGGCTCGCTGACTTGGTTGATGCATGTCATTGGTCCCAATTGCGTGGATCGATGCTCATGATATTAATCACTGGGTGGTCTGGTCCAGACTCGATTATTTACAGACCACCGTCATATAGCTGGAATATTGCTGAGTGCGGCGTTAAACAACAAACCAACCAACAACAGAGAGTGAGTGAAGTAATATTAAAGCTGAGCTTTCACCAAGAAAGTGTCTGTGGGCACAAAAACATTACTTTGTTTTTGAAGCCACACCAAAAAAACATACAGGCATCACATTAGTGATTAGGCTCTTTAGAGTTACCTCCTTTTAAGAAATATTTACTTAACATAATATTTAGGAAATCTGAAACTCATGATCATTTCAATTTTGAAAAGGTGATGGTAACCAAATTTAGTCTATTCTCATAGTGTCACCATCAACATGGTAGACATAATATAGTGGCAGGTTACCATGGAAAGTCTCTATTGTCGATTTGATCAATCGTGTAAAGAGTTTGGTTTGTTGTTTAATGCCAAACTCAGTAATGTTCCAGCGATATGACGGCAGTCTGTAAATAATCTGGACATGATAATCAAGTGATTGACATCATGAGCATCGATCCACACAAATTAGTTTGATGGCATGCATCAACCAAGTCAGCGAGCCTGACCACCCCATCCCATTAGTTGCCTCTTATGACAAGTATAGTCACATAGAGACTAGGAATATTACCTTGTGAAAACTCCATAAGATACATACTTGCTGTGAACACAAATGTTCAAATGTAAGAAATGTTATATTTGGGATAACACTTTCTCAGTAAAGTACAGATTCTCATACTTATTTGGGTTTAGTCCCGTCCGGAATTCGAACCTACACTGCCAGAGTGAGGCACCTAATCGCAAGCACACAAAGTCGGCTATATAACCCACTCAGGCTTTCACTCGAATGCCGGATGGGACTCTACCCCCAAAAGTACTAGAATCTGTACTTTACTGAGTGAGTGAGTGAGTGAGTGAGTGAGTGAGTGAGTATGGTTTTACGCCGCTTTTAGCAATATTCCAGCAATATCACAGCGGGGGACACCAGAAATGGGTTTCACACATTGTACCCATGTCGGGAATCGAACCCGGGTCTTCGGCGTGACGAGGGAACGCTTTAACAACTAGGCTACCCGACCGCCCCTGTACTTTACTGAGAAAGTGTTATTCCAAATATTACTTTTGTTATACTTACGTACTGTGTATTGCTAGGTCTCGGAAGGTTCAGCGCAGCAAGTCTGATGCTGAGCGGCGGCGACTGACTGCGGAGGTGGAGCCTGGCGTCGAGATTACCGAGGAGGACAACATAGGTGATTGGTGTCACGTCTGTAAGGCATGTTTGTGTTGTCGGGTCTGGGTCGTCTTTCCGAGGCAAGAGAGTCCACGGACTGTAAAAGTCCTCTTTCCATCCTTGCCGAACAAGGCTGGAATTTCTGGGCTGGATCATAATGCCACTAGTGACTATTACGAGTTATGTCCCTTCTATCATGTCTATGTCCCTTCTATTGACCATTCAGATTCAAATTCTCATATCACTTGCATCTGCTTTTAAAAAAATATCGTCACCCTCTCTGATCGATAATCGATAGTCTGATTTCGCGAAATGTATCAAATCAAGTGAGCACCTTGATTAAAAACATGAAAAGATTTCAAAAATATCTCTTGACACTAAGTTGTCAGTACACATGCTTTGCAAATCCTGCAATCAACCGAAATCTGCCAGGCAAGTTGATGTCGATTTTGTTACGAGATTTTGATTTGGACTATACATAGACTCGTTAGTCCAGCAAAAATATTAACTCCATAATTGCAGCCTTGTTCGGCAAGGGTGGAAACTGGACTCTTATAGTCAGTTAACTCCCTTGCCTCAGGAAGATGGGGCTGGGACAGAAAGAAGCTTAAGGACATTGTTTGGATAAGACATAAAAGAGATCAGTGTTGAATTAGAAGAGGGCCCTGTGGTCCTTGAGGCTTTCTCCTGGAGTAGAAACCACCTAAATACTTCCTTTCAATTTTATACTTATGAAAAAGAATCCTTTGACTTCTATTTATATGTTTCAAATTGTTAAGACGATTTAATATATTTGATTTAAATACATTCAGTCATTTTTAATCCTCGTACAGTGGAGTTAGGGACAAGTCATCAACCCTGAAATAATCTTTTCCAAAATTTCACTTTATGCGGAGCATATTTCTGTGATTCTTTTTGTGAAATGTGACACCAAGTTTGGTGCCCAAACATGAGCAATTATATCTGTACAAAAATTGCATTGTTGAAAAACTTTCGTTATCCTTATCTTCTTTAAAAGTTTATAAGGAAGAGATATACCGGTATTTCTAATCCTGAGAACATTCCTGTTCAATATTAAAGTTTGTTTGTTGTTTTACACCGCACTCAGCAATATTCCAGCTATATGACGGTGGTCTGGAAATAATCAAGTCTGGGCCAGACAATCCAGTGATTGACATCGTGAGCTTCGATCCACACAATTGGAATCAGTGACATGCATCAACCAAGACAGCAAGTCGCCTCTTACGACAAGCAGAGTCGCTTTTTACAGCAAGCCTGGGTTGCTGAAGACTTAGTCTACCCCAGATCTTCGCGGGTCTCAATATTAAAGTAGTGTCATCATCATTAGTACCGGTATTTATGTTTGGTCGGAGTAACTGTTCATTAGATTAGATATCCTATAATATACAAAAATGGGCGTGTATGTTGCATGTGGGTCGCTTCTTGTTTACTTCTTGTCTACACGAGGTTTGGAATATGGAAATATGGTTTCATTTGTTCTTTGCCTGTTGTTGGGTCATGTTTGTTGTTTTTTTGTTTTTTTTATTGTTTGTGTCATGTTTGATTTTTAAGTGTTACATATGTTCAGTTTACTTTTTCATGTCATTCTGTAGTTTTAGCTCATTTGAACCTAAGGTTCATGTGAGTTTAATTGCCATTGTGTGTTGTCGATTCTGAACGTTGCCTTTGATGCAAGATGATCCTCCGATGGTGTCTCTAAAAAACACATTTTCCTGCAGCCTTATTGAAATCCTCATTTTTGCCCATCACACTGCCCCTTTGCATATTAAATAGTGAGTGAGTGAGTGAGTTGGGTTTAACGCCGCTTTTCACAGTATTCCAGTTATATCATGGCGTGTCAGCTTGATGTGGGAGGAAAGCCCCAAGTGATGCAGATCTCCGACGTTTACCACTTCGGTGAAACCCACGAGCACGGGTATGGTGCTGACAAACCTAGAAACATAATTGGGGCAAACTGAGATTCGAACCCACAATCATAGGTTCCTGGCGTGCCCAAGGGATGCAACTCTGCACAGCGATGTCATTAGTCTGCCATGACAGTGATGAATCTTTCATTCTGACTGGTCAATAAATGTGAATCAGAGAGTTCAATTCATTTTGTGACTGCTTCACTGCACATTGAGATCATCTTCCAGAGGCAATGATTGATATTGTATTTACACATGTATCATTGCGAACTCTTTAGATTATTAAGAACAACGATATATGTTGTTTTTCTGAAGATTTGGGTCCCATTGAAATTGTGATTGAACTTTGTGTCCATTTTGATAGGAATATTGTACTTGGCAAGAGTGCAGGTGAGCTTCAGCCCACAGGTTATCAAACAAGTTGTTCATCCATAAATTCTTATCCTTACTCATACTCCAACTTCTTAATGCCTATCCAAAAAGTTGACCAATATCTTATCTTAATGGTTACATTTCGTTGAGATATCGGAGTCTGTTGGCTTATTATTCCATGACCTGTGTTCCCAGATGCGAGCGAGCCAAGTATACCTCCCAAGAAGCGGAGCTGGTATGACCGAATGTGGGAGGCGGTGATGAAAGTTGTCTACGATGTCATGGACGACTTCTCTGAAGTCCCCGACCAGGAACAGGACGAGGACCCCGACGGGGACCCGCTCACTGTCAAAAAGTAGATATGACCTCAGTCCATCCATTATAGTTGTATCAGTGGAAACAATCAGTAGCACGTCGATGGCTTATGTCAATGACGGAACTAGGTCCTTACGCCATTTGAACAATATTTTAATTTATGATGGATGTCAGCATAAAGTGGGAGGGCAGCCTGTGATGATGTAGGTCAGCCAACCTCTGAACCTGTTAAGATCCGGGGTAGAATAGGTCTTCAACAACCCATGCTTGCCATAAAAGGTGACTATGCTTGTCGTAAGAGGCAATTAACGGGATCGGGTGGTCAGGCTCGCTGACTTGGTTGATGCATGTCATCGTATTCCAATTGCGTGGATCGATGCTCATTTGTCAATCACTGGATTGTCTGGTCCAGACTCCATTATTTTCAGACCGATGTCATATAGCTGGAATATTGCGGCGTTAAACAACAAACCAACCAACAACCATAAACTGTATCTGTTTTGTTGTTAATTTACAGGCAGCAGAGATATGGATCGACACTCACTCATGGTAATATCTTTGTCTTTTGTTTCAGATTAAAGGACAATATCAAACGCTTTGGTGAGTACCATAACTATGTATCTAGAATTTCATTTCTCATTTCAAGAACCTTTCTGGTCTTTGCATTATTAGAAACAGTTTCTGTTACTTGAATGTGATTCCTCAATGACATCATTGCTTGAGAAGTGTTTTGTGTGTAACAGGCACCGAGGCAAAGCCCTATTTGTCAACGGCACGAGGCGTCTACGATTTGCTCACCTGGAAATCACCACCATACACTCTCATTGTCTTTATTGTAAGTACACATGCACTGCTTGTCTGTCATTTCTTTTTTTGTAGATCAGCATATATATTTTGGTTGAGTTACTTTGTTAATAGTTTTGAAACAAATTGAAAGGGCATTGTCAACACAGTTATCATCTAAAAATAGGCTCATCAACATAGATTGCTATGTGGATGATGTGTGAAATCATTGGAAATAAATGCATTTTATATTATGATGTTTAGGTTATGTTGATGGGCAAATATGTTTTTTCGCTCACAAAAGGCTTCTTTGAATATGTAAAATGCAGCTAAAATATAAACATTATAGATTTATCATTTCTTGAAGAAAGTCAATCAATTGTTATCGTATACTTTTGGTGCCACGAATACGATTTTAGCTCACCTGCCCTGAAAAACCATGTGATCTTCTGTCATCGTAAGTAATCCATCGTTGTCAGAGATGTGGATGTTTGTTACTATAAGAGGATTCAAGTTCAATGCATCAAAATTGCAATTTCAATATGGCCACCAGGTCGCCATCTTGGAATTTATCAAAAACTTAAAATGTCTTCTCTAAGATTACATATGGAAAATATTGGAAAATATGAAGAATCTTTCATCATCTGTTGTAAACATTATAGGATGAATGAAGCTTCCCATGTTTGTTCCTGTCAATGTTGACACCAAAATTTGTTCACGAGGTTTGTATCAGATTTTCCATCATGGCTGCCAACAATCCATTCCTCAACCATTTGTTTTCAAAGTGTAATGAAATTTGTGATATGTTAGTTGGTAGTGGGACCCAAAACATGTTCCATATTTTGCATTGTTTTTAAGTATGATCAAATTTTCAACATGTATTTTTTGCTCTGATATTGAATTAAACTGCAAGACACAGGAAGCTGAACTTTGTTTCTTCTTACGGTGACATCATAATTGGCTCAGATCTTAAGGACTTTCATGAGAATATTCATAGGTACTCTTGGAACATCAATACTGACAGCAGCTTTTGTTAATTGAGTGTTTTTGGTGACATTCTAAACTGATGTAGGTGAGCTACAGTAATCATAACCCGAGGCCATGATTGAAAATGTAATTTGTACCCATTTCTTCATGGGGGGGTCGGTAGATTAGTGGTTAAAGCGTTCGCTTGTCATGCTGAAGACCCGGTAGACTATCATCTAGTCTCTGAAATGAACACATCTTAATACAAATCTAATAAAAAGGAGTTCAGAGAACTTCTTCATTTTCAGATACTGCAGTAATCTAGACTTGCCAAACATAATAGACTTGTATGGTCTGTTTTTGATATATTTGTATCAGGGTCTGTAAGACAGACTAAAAACCAGGGTTCGGTTCCCGACATGGGTACAATGTGTGAAGTCCACTCCTGGTGTCCCCCGCCGTGATATTGCTGGAATATTGCTAAAGGCGACGTAAAACCATACTCACCCACTCATTCATTTCTTCAACATTTCTTCATGCATCATTGTGGAATTTGACATGCAACAGTGCAAGCTATTGCAGAATATCCTATACCATGTTTCTTTCTCTATTTTGATGTTTTTACCCTGCCTTTGACTTTCACCCATCAGGCATATTGAAAGTGTTGTATCAGGAGCTTTTGATGATAAGAATATGAGGTGAGGTGAGGTGAAATGGAGTTTAACGTTGCGTCCAAGATTATTGCACTTATATAGCGACGTGCATGTACGTGTGTGTGTTTGTGTGGCTGCTTGTACTAGTCCGGACTGATGCCGATTTATAGTGCTAGCTCACTGAGATACCATGCCGCAGTTTAACATTCATACCCCACTCAGACACAGTATGCTGACTTCGAGCCGACCAGTCCTTGTTTTAGCCCCTTAATGCCAAGCGCCAGACAGGGTAACAACAAGTACCATCTTTTAATGTCTTTTGGTATGACGCGGTCGGGGATCGAACCCCAGACCTTCAGCTCTCCGGGCGGACGCTCTACCACTAGACCACGGAGGCGGTCTGATAAGAATATGATGCTAATTATGGCACATGTTACATAGAATTAAATAGCAAGTCAAGTGACTGTAAATGACAGTGTAGGTCTGGAAGAGTTCACTTTGTTGTGGGCAGAGATCCAGATCAGCTGTGTATTTGTGTATATGGGTATATTTTCAGGTGTACATGTACTCAGTGTGGGTGGGATGCTTCCTCCCGGTCATGCTGTTCTGTTTCACCTTCAGGATGTTCATCAACTACCTTAGATACAGGTGAGAAAATACACAGGTGAGACAATACAGGTGTCTCTGATAATACAGGTGTCACAAAAGACAGGTGAGACTATACACAGGCGAGACTATACAGGTGTCTCTGATAATACAGGTGTCACAATAGACAGGTGAGACTATACACAGGCGAGACTATACAGGTGTCTCTGATAATACAGGTGTCACAATAGACAGGTGAGACTATACACAGGCGAGACTATACAGGTGTCTCTGATAATACAGGTGTCACAATAGACAGTTGAGACACTACACAGGTGAGACAATACAGGTGTCCCTGGTAATACAGGTGTCACAATACACAGGTGAGACACATACCACATACATTTTTGTTGTTGAACAAAACACTGGCGATATTCAAATAAGTGTATTTTTTATTGAAGTCAGCTTGTCTGTTACCATAAGGGTTTCCCGTTGTCCATTTTTAGTACAAGGAAATAACATTTCACTTTGGTTTGAGGTTAAGTATATATTTGTAGCGACATCGTCCAGAAATAAAAAAAAAGAAGAGTAAATTGTGACCGAACTTTGTGTGAATGACAAGTAGATCTAACTAGGTTACTTCGGAGATGACAATACAGGTGTTTCACCGAAGTGGTGTCACAATACACAGGCGTCTGTGGTAATACAGGTGTCACAATAGACAGATATTACAATATGCAGGGGACAAAATTTCTGTCCTTTGTAATCAGAGCTTTAATTACTAAGAACCTGTCATTGAACACCTACTAATCATGTTAGTTACATGAAGTATCACACACTGTTTCACACAGAATCGACCTTTGAAGATCCGGGGTAGAATAGGTCTTAAGCAACCCATGCCTGCTGTAACAGGCGACTATGCTTGTCGTAAGAGGCGACTAACGGAATCTGGTGGTTTAGGCTCGCTGACTTGGTTGATACACGTCATCATATCCCAATTTTGTAGATCGATGCTCATGATATCAATCACTGGATTGTCTGGTCCAGACTTGATTATTTAGAGACCACCATCATATTGCTGAGTGCGGTGTTAAACAACAAACAAACAAACAGACTGTTTCACACAGAATCTATGGAGGGGGCATGGGTGGCCTAGTCGTCTAAGGCGCCGCGATTCGCTGTGCAGAGTTGTGTCTCTTGGGCACGCCAGAAACCTATGATTGTGGGTTCGAATCCTGGTTAGCCCCAATTATGTTTCTAGGTTTGTCAGCACCATACCCGTGCTCGTGGGTTTCACCGAAGTGGTAAACGTCTGAGACCTGCATCACTTCGGGCTTTCCTCCCACATTAAGCTGACACGCCACGATATAACTTGAATATTGTTAAAAGCGGCGTTAAACCAAACTCACTCACTCACAGAATCTATGGTCTATATGCCCCTGGTAAACATAATATCGGGCGTCTATAGGGATTTTACAGACTCTTCTCTCAGTTGTAACATGCTCTTTTCCAGAGGATGGAATGTGAATTTCAACTTCTTTGATCCAGCTGATGAGGAAAAGGTGAGTGTGTAGTTCTTCCATGGTAAAGCTGGAGTTGTAGGACACTCCTCACATACACCATGAATATTTATAGTCACGGACACACTGAGTTGCCAGTGAGGAAGGCTAGCTGTTATAAGGACCTGTGTATTTGTCTCCCATTGTTACGATGGTTTCTGATTTTGGGCCCATTCTTTGTGACCCTTGCTATGATATATTTATGTCCATTGATAAGATTTGAACAGGAATACTTACCCCAGCCAATCTTGTTCAAACATTGGAGTGTGGATATTCCAACCTGAAAAAAATGAGAAAAAAAAATTGTTCTTTTTTTTCTGCTATGTTCAAGGTTTTAAGTTAGCTGCAAGACAATCTAGACTTGTATAACCAACACTTCAAGGTTTTATTCACAGAAAGGAAAAAACAGGTTTTATTCACATAATGAAACAAAAAATCCAAATGCCCTGTTTTGTGTTTTTTTCCCCACCTACCAATAAGCAATTTTTACACAAACATCTTGAAACCAAGAAATTGAAAAAAGTCTGTCCTGTTTCTCAAGCAAATACAAATTAGCATTTTTTTAAATTTTAAGTTTTATTTCAGGAAGCTGATGACAACAGAGACCTGGGTGTGTCTGACAAGTTCAATCTGGTGCTGCAGGTGGCCCGGAAAGTACAGGTGAGCTAACACAGTCATCTGAGGCGTGAGATAAAGCCCCGAAAGTACAGGTGAGCTAACCAGTCATCTGAGGCTTGAGATATAGCTCGGAAAGTACAGGTGAGCTAACCAGTCGTCTGAGGCTTGAGATATAGCTCGGAAAGTACAGGTGAGCTAACCAGTCATCAGAGGCTTGAGATGTAGCTCGGAAAGTACAGGTGAGCTAAACCAGTCATCTGAGGCTTGAGATATAGCTCGGAAAGTACAGGTGAGCTAACCAGTCATTGGAGGCATGAGATTTAGCTCGGAAAGTACAGGTGAGCTAACCAGTCATCGGAGGCTTGAGATATACCTCGGAAAGTACAGGTGAGCTAACCAGTCATCGGAGGCTTGAGATATACCTCGGAAAGTACAGGTGAGCTAACCAGTCATCGGAGGCTTGAGATATAGCTCGGAAAGTACAGGTGAGCTAACCAGTCATCGGAGGCTTGAGATATAGCTCGGAAAGTACAGGTGAGCTAACCAGTCATCGGAGGCTTGAGACATACCTTGGAAAGTACAGGTGAGCTAACCAGTCATCGGAGGCATGAGATATAGTGCATACTTGAGACCTATTGCTGCTGAGCTGGGATGTTAACACCAATTGTGCGATATGATACGTATCACGATACTTGCATGTGCTCTTATCTGTGGTGCGTAGGCCATCTTTTTCATAGACAGGATAGCCAAATACCTGGCACACTGATAATTTACAGTTGGTAGCGGCAAGTATGGCGCAATGGATGAAAATATTTACTTTTTCACTGTTAATTTACACCACTAATTAGTGTTTGGTGTAACACTTATTAAAGCAAACATTTGTGATAAGTATCAATATTTTTTACTTAGTGTGCGACTGTGATCGATACTTGAATAAAGAAGAAAACAATTGCGATCCAACGATGCAATCCTGATAATGTGTAAAAGGCTGAAACATGCCACATCACACAAACTTCAAATCCTGGTCAAGTAGCCTCAGAGATAATAAATTCCAAGTAAATTACGAAACTGATAGATGAAACTATGATGTCACGCATACCTGAATAATCTTTTGTTATTTGCAGAACTTTCTTGGTGCTTTTGCCGACAGTCTGGAAAAAATCAAAAGGTAACGATCATGAAAAAAATGTCAGAATGACATACGACCAAATGTCTATTTTAGGCACATCCGTTTTTGGACACGTTGAACCAAATCAATTAAATCAAATCAACAAGGATGCCCTTCTGTGTTTATGTAGGTTGCGAAATATTGTTACTGAAAGTCTTGACTCATTTCTTGTCTTGTAGTATGCTGACATGGCGACACCCACCGGCATCAAAGCAGTTGTTTTTTATGATGTTCCTCAGTGCCGTGGTGTCCTGTATATTCCCAGCTACCAACCTGTTTTACTGTGGAGGTAAGAAGAGGTCAGGAACCTGGTATACCAGTCTGTGGCTTTAGTCACTGGTCTGAAGCCTGAGTCTAGTCATATTCTGTTTGGTCTGGTATGCTCAGCTAAAATAACAGTCCATCTGCTTCACTAAACTCTTCTGAAAAAGTTGCTTAGCGCCATGTTCGTCCAAGTATACTAAAAAAAATTGATTGTTTGTTGTTTAATGCCACACTCAGCAATATTCCAGCAATATAACGGCGGTTTGTTAATAATTGAGTCTGGACAAGAAAATACAGTGATTGACATCATGAGCATCACTTCACGCATTTGGGATACAATGACATGCATCAACCAAGTCAGCGAACCTGACCACACGATCCCAATAGTCGCCTCTTATGACAAGCATAGTCGCCTCTTACGACAAGCATAGTCGCCTCTTACGACAAGCATAGTCGCCTCTTATGACAAGCATTGTCGCCTCTTATGACAAGCAATTTTTGCACGGACTGGTAAACTCATGGGGAATATTATGGCAACACAGAAGCATGACGGAAAAAGGTTATTAGGCCACAATAAATTACTTATTTGATTTCCCTCCAAATGTTTCAAGCATGAGTGGCGGGAGGCATTTTTCCAACTGTTTGTTCAAGGTGTCTGTGTACATTAACTGTGGACAGATATGATTCATGTGAAGCATGAATGTTTGGTGGTGGGAAGATGGGGTATTTCATCAAATAAGAAGGCAATCGGATGAAATCAAATAATTTGTTATGGCCTCATAGAGGCTTAGTTGAAAAAAAAGGTAGGGAAAGATTTGACATCCTGTCAAAAGATCCACATACTCGTCTCATGATGGAATCCACAATTATATCCTCTGAAAAGATCCACATCTTTTGCCTATGAAAGAATACTTATCGACATTAATTATTACTATTATTATTATTATTATTATTAGTCCTCATCAAATCCTAGCCCTCTGAAAGAATGAAAGATTCCACATCTTCATCCTCTGAAAGAATCCACATTCTCATTCATTGAAACAAATCCAATGTCCACATTCAGGCTGTCTCAATTATTTTCTGAGGTTTCCATCCAACATGAGGTATATAGACATATGTGCTGTGTTGCAATGCATGACCCCTGATCTGCTGTGGGAGGTTCACTACAAGAAGTCGATGTTCCAGGTTTACTGATGGGCGTCAAGCTGTTCCTGGTGGACTTCATGTATCTGCGGTTCCCCCGGCTCCGCCAGAAGTACGACACCTCCCACCAGATGTGGCTCAACCTGCCCACTGACGCCGAGTACGAGAAGCGCAACATGAAGACCGAGCTTAACCGGGTGAGAGTGGGGATCAGATGTCCACAATGGCTGTGGAGTTGAATAATTTTGATTGGACAGGACCTAGAAACAGGCTGCTACGTATCGCTGCTGATGCTGTGTAATTACCTTATAGGCATATTGATTTATGGCTCAATCATATCGATCTATGCCTTCTATTCAGGGAAGCAGTTATGGACAAATGTGTTTGCTTTCCACAGTACATTCTTCCGTCCAGTCGCCCGGACAGCGGGGACGAGAAGCGGGAGAGTGCTGGGGACAGTATGTCCACTGATGATCGGTCCTTCTGTGAGCTGTTCACTCTTCCCCCCAGCGAGTGTCCCCTGCCAGGTGAGTTGATCCAACAAACGCCTGTTGAATGTCCTGTACCATGTGAGTTGATCCAGCGAACACCTGTTGAATGTCCTGTACCAGGTGAGTTGATCCAACGAACACCTGTTGAATGTTCTGTACCAGGTGAGTTGATCCAGCGAACACCTGTTGAATGTCCTGTACCAGGTGAGTTGATCCAACGAACACCTGTTGAATGTCCTGTACCAGGTGAGTTGATCCAACGAACGCCTGTTGAATGTCCTGTACCAGGTGAGTTGATCGAACGAACACCTGTTGAATGTCTGTACCAGGTGAGTTGATCCCATGAACACCTGTTGAATGTCTGTACAAGGTGAGTTAATCCAACAAATGCCTGTTGAATGTCCTGTACCAGGTGAGTTGATCCAAGAGACACCTGTTGAATGTCCTGTACCAGGTGAGTTGATCCAACAAACGCCTGTTGAATGTCTGTACCAGGTGAGTTGATCCAATGAACACCTGTTGAATGTCTGTACCAGGTGAGTTGATCCAACAAACGCCTGTTGAATGTCTGTACCAGGTGAGTTGATCCCATGAACACCTGTTGAATGTCTGTACCAGGTGAGTTGATCCAACGAACACCTGTTGAATGTCTGTACCAGGTGAGTTGATCCAACGAACACCTGTTGAATGTCTGTACCAGGTGAGTTGATCCAGCGAACACCTGTTGAATGTCTGTACCAGGTGAGTTGATCCAGCGAACACCTGTTGAATGTCTGTACCAGGTGAGTTGATCCAACGAACACCTGTTGAATGTCCTGTACCAGGTGAGTTAATCCAACGAACACCTGTTGAATGTCCTGTACCAGGTGAGTTGATCCAACGGACACCTGTTGAATGTGCTGTACCAGGTGAGTTGATCCAACAAACACCTGTTGAATGTCCTGTACCAGGTGAGTTGATCCAACGAACACCTGTTGAATGTCCTGTACCAGGTGAGTTGATCCAACGAACACCTGTTGAATGTCCTGTACCAGGTGAGTTGATCCAACGAACACCTGTTGAATGTCCTGTACCAGGTGAGTTGATCCAACGAACACCTGTTGAATGTCCTGTACCAGGTGATTTGATCCAACAGACACCTGTTGAATGTCCTGTACCAGGTGAGTTGATCCAACAGACACCTGTTGAATGTCCTGTACCAGGTGAGTTGATCCAAGCTAACACCTGTTGAATGTCCTGTACTAAGTGACTTGTTCTGACTCACACCTGTTAAATGTCTTGTACCAGGTGAGTTGTTCAAACATGTTGAATGTCTGTACCTTGGTGATTTATACACAGACTAGTTTAGCAACTGTATGTGAGTTACAACAATCAGGGCAGTAACTTTGTTGCAGTTTGTTTTGAAACCAGTTCAGATTCAGTTTGCTTATGTCAACAAATGTCCACTAAGCACATTGGGACACACGCTTGATCATCCATTGTATTGTTTCTCCCTTGTGTTAATACCCTGGACCCATTCCCCACCATAGCTTCATTTCCATCACACCAGTCTCTACTTACTGTAACCTGGTTGTGATAGGAAACACAATGTCCAACACAGGCTACCAGGGTGATTCTTTATTACCAGTAGTGTAGATAATGACACCCTGTAATGTACAAAACAATAACATTATAGAAATAATAGTACACAGGTTTCATACACATACATAATCATACAATACAAAGCGACCATTCATTTCATTTAAACATACCCGTGAAGATCCGGGGTAGAATAGGTTTTCAGCAACCCATGCTTGCCGTAAAAGGCGACTATGCTTGTCGTAAAAGGCGACTAACGGGATCGGGTGGTCAGGCTCGCTGACTTGGTTGATGCATGTCATCGATCCCATTTATGGATCGATTATCATGATGTAAATCACTGGATTGTCTGGTCCAGACTCGATTATGTAGAGACCGCTGTCATAAAGCTGGAATATTGCTGAGTGCGGCGTAAAACAACAAACCAAACCTAAAATCATTTAAACATATGTCTATATTCCATACATGAACATGAACTTAATAATCAGTGATATATAGAATCATTATCTTAACCCTAAAGTAAACAAACAGTTCATCAAGGGCGATAACTCAATCCCGACATTACTTATAAGTTACACTATAGACATGGTCCATGGTTGTAAATTAGATCTTGTGTCTGCCACATCTGCACAGAACGTCTCCTGCTCAGGAGGGCAATTTGATTGGAAGGCTATTTCTAGATTTCTGCCAAATAAATTGGCCTCAACTCAAAGCTATGACAGCAGGTGGGTGTGGGGTATTTATCACAGTGGTACAAGATATGATACCTGGCTAATCAAGGATGGGAACATGATCCCCCACATGACCGATCCAGTGTCCGAGTGAACATGTCTTGTCTTCTACTGCAGGGTGGCAGGGTGGTCGGCGATGTACGCTCATCAACAGAGAGAAGTCACTCACCGCCGCCTTCAAGAACGGCAAACTGTATCTCACCCGGAGGTAGGGCTTGTCACGAAACTGTATCTCACCCCGAGGTAGGGCTTGTCACGAAACTGTATCTCATCCGGAGGTAGGGCTTGTCACGAACCTGTATCTCACCCGGAGGTAGGGCTTGTCACGAAACTGTATCTCACCCGGAGGTAGGGCTTGTCACGAAACTGTTCCTCACCCGGAGGTAGGGCTTGTCACGAAACTGTTTCTCACCCGGAGGTAGGGCTTGTCACGAAACTGTTTCTCACCCGGAGGTAGGGCTTGTCACGAAACTGTTTCTCACCCGGAGGTAGGGCTTGTCACGAAACTGTTTCTCACCCGGAGGTAGGGCTTGTCACGAAACTGTTTCTCACCCGGAGGTAGGGCTTGTCACGAAACTGTTTCTCACCCGGAGGTAGGGCTTGTCACGAAACTGTTTCTCACCCGGAGGTAGGGCTTGTCACGAAACTGTTTCTCACCTTGAGGTAGGGCTTGACTTTGACAGGGACAGAGACAATTCAGACATCTGCATCATTCCAGTTACCAGCCACGGTTTCCTACTTCCCTGCATCTTCAATATAACATCTGAAGATGATTCATGAATAGATGTGTGGTTATTGATTAAAATTGTGGATGCATCATCCATGGCCACACAATTGAAATCAACAAGATACCATTAGTACAGTAGTAAATTTTGACACTATCAATAAATGTCATAATTGAAGACTTTAATCTTTAACTTTTTCATTTGTTTTGACCCAAAAGCACCTTGCTTGTGGTTATCCATATAAATGATGTCATCGTCACCCCTGTTAATTACTAACATGACAATTCATTTGAGCAACCATCATAGAAGAAATGTCTTGACTGAAGTTTATGAAGAAATTTTATTGAGTTTAAAGTAAATAGTCAAAATACCAAGAAACACAGGAATGGGAAGGATTTACTGTACATATCCTATGATAGTAAGTGAGTGAGAGAGCGAGTTGCTTCGAACAGTATTCCAGTTATCTTAATGTGGGAAGAAAGGCAGGTCTCAGATGTTTCCCACTTGGTTGAAACCCATGAGCAGGGTCTGGTGCTGACAAACCTAGAAACATTTCTTTCGAAAACACAATCAATGTGCTGCACCTTTGAGTAACATTTGAAGAGTCAATACTGAGTTTACATATATAATGCTTCAGTTTACTGCTGTGAGCTTACAGTAAGGCTTAAAAAAATAATAGTCTTGGTTCTCAGGCACCGCATCATCACAAAGTCTACCGCTCGTTTCGATTTTATTTCCATTTTCAAAAAAACATTTAAAAAATCCTTATACTTAAAAACAATGCAATCCAATACGCCACACAGTTACTTCCCTTTACATGGGCACTGCTTTACTGCGCATCTTGTGTTATGGTCATGGAGGCAATTTGTATGCTTGTTTATGTAGGGAGGCCCTTTCCCAGGTTGATGTCACACATCTGTTTATCTGGTTACATACTAGTTTGAACAAGCCTAATATTGGTGCCATTGATACTGTTGAAACAAGTGTCTATACTTTAATGTCTTTTATTTTTCAGTTTTCTGTGTTTTGAAAGAACAAAAACTCCTTCACCTAAAAATATTGTCATCCCATTAGCTGACATTACAAGAATGGAAAAGGTAGGTCCTGTTTAGACAAGAAATATAGTTACTTGCTGCTTAAATTGTCAAATACCAACAACAAAAGGACAGTTGTCCAATTACGAATATCACAGAAATAATGATTAGTAAACATATTAAAAAAGACTACAATAGATTTTTTAAAAATGTTCACACAGGTTACAAAAAATAAAGTGCTTCTTGCCTCACACTTTTGAGGCACACTTTCAATTTATCATGGCCTAGCACCCTGACATCTGATGTTGCACATTTGATTTCTTCACAAATTTGTCTCTGTTTTCCCTGCAGGCTAAGCCCTACTCCTGGCTACCTGGGGGAGGGATGGCCATCGAGATTGCTATTGCTGGCTCCGACAAGGTGAGTGGAGAAGACTTTCATGGCCTGATGTGTATTGAAACAGTTTCAACAAAATCTGTCAAGAAATGATACCCAGCATGACATAAGGGACTTATTGGTGAAAAATCACATTTTGACTTTTCATTATATTTTAGAACTACAGTGTCTTCGGTACTCAGAAATACAATTAACAGGCTTCAATTCATATTTATTATCGAGGTACATGACATCAAATATTTGAACTTGCTTTCCGACGTATAACTGTTTATGTAATAACTGCAGTTTTTAGACACAATGTCTGATGATGTGAAAGTAGACATGTATGCTGAAAGGTTTAAGAAATAATTATATCATAATTATAATTAATTATTAAATTACGTACGAACGAGAGAAAAATAAAATATTTTTGTACAGTCCACACACATGGCGATCTTTGGCTGTCCCGTAGACTGACATTAAGTCCCAGTAATATAGTTATCTTATCGAAAAATATATATTTCTACAAAATATAAAAAAATATCCAAATGGCAATGCTTAATTATCCACTGAAGCAATCTAGACTTGCCAAATCATTCTAGACTTGAGTCTGATTCCTTTCTTAATTTAATGGGGCATCAGGGTAGCCTTGTGGTTGAAGTGTTCGCTCATCACACCAAAGACCCGGGTTCGATTGCCGACATGGGTACAATGTGTGAAGCCCATTTCTTGTGACCCCTGCCGTGATATTGCTGGAATATTGCTAAAAGCGGCGTAAAACCATACTCACTCACTCACTCACATGGCGATCTTCACTGAAGTAAGTTGACATCAAACATCTTTATGATGTCATAGCACAGTTGTATCCTAAGCACCCATAAGGTCCCTTTTCTGCTGGTGGTCCGCCTCCGTGGTCTAATGGTAGAGCGTCCGCCCGGAGAGCGGAAGGTCTGGGGTTCGATCCCCAGCCACGTCATACCAAAATAGTTAAAAGATGGTACTTGTTGTTACCCTGTCTGGCGTTCGGCATTAAGGGGCTAAAACAAGGACTGGTCGGCTCGGAGTCATTATACTGTGTCTGAGAGGGGTATTCATGTTAAACTGCGGCATGGAATCTCAGTGTGCTAGCACTATAAATTGGCATCACTCCGGACTAGTACAAGCAGCCACACACACACACACATACACGTGCCTGCACATTGCTATATAAGTGCAATAATCTTGGACGCGATGTTAAACCCCATTTCACCTCACCTCTCCTGGTGGGTTACAAATGTTTCCTTAATTTTACAAACCATACAGATAGTAGAGCAGGCATATTCACATGGTCCTGTTTCAATCACTCAACTGATAAGTGATGTCGTTCATGATCAGGGGTTTATCTTGGCAGGCAGTTGGGAATTTTAGTTGTTATTTTGCTCTAATTGTTTAGTGAAATACAAGTCACTTCTACAGAACCATAACATCATTTTTTACCGTATAACTTGGATTGGGAAATTGTAATTCCAATTTGGTAATTTTTGCTGACCTTTGACTGACTTGAGTGAGTGAGTGAGTGAGTGAGTTGGGTTTAACACCGCTTTTAACAGTATTACAGTTATATCGCGGCGTGTCAGCTTAATGTGGGAAGAAAGCCTGAAGTGATGCAGGTCTCAGACGTTTACCACTTCGGTGAAACCCACGAGCACGGGTATGGTGCTGACAAACCTAGAAACATAACCGGGGCGAACCGGGATTCCAACCCACAATCATAGGTTTCTGGCGTGCCCAAGGGACGCAACTCTGCACAGCGAATCGCGGTGCCTTAGACGACTGGGCCACTCGTGCCTACGACTGACTTGAGGTTGAATATCGGCCTCTGAGCAGGTTCAGACAACCGTTGATGATATATGTGTCTGCATCACTCTGTGTCCCAGATATATACATTTTGAGATACAAGGGATGATTTATGTTCTGAGCCTCACATAGCTTGATTTGACCTAAAGACATTAAAATGATGTATTTTCAACATAATCCCCTTCCACATTGATACATTTTTGCCACGATGTTAGTGGGATTTTATCCCAGTTCATAGAAGTCCTTCTCTTGGCTGTAGAAAAAGTTCTCATCTGAGTCGAAATGGGTTTCGCCTTGAGCCTTCTTCATATTTGGGAACAGATTTAGTCTGACGAAGCAAGATGAGAATAAGTCTCTGTGAGCGCTGAAGCGGTTCAGTGCCACCACACATCGATGTATGCATGACATTGCCTGATTTGTGCAATGGCGTATTGTTGGAAGAGTCCACCTTTTCTCAGCTTCCCATGCCTCTTAGTCTTAATTTCATCCTGTAAATACCTCCAAAGTGCAGCATCATGTGCTCCATTTATTGTGTAGCATCTTGGAAGATAGTCGACTATGATAATACGCTTGGCATTCCAGAACACAGAGGCTATATTCATTCCAGCTGATGGGACAGTCTTTGCCTTCGTTGGCGGCGGTGATGTCAAATGTTTCCACTGTTTTTATTGTTGTTTGGAAGTGGTGAACCCAGGTTTCATCCATAGTCACAAATCATTGCAAGAACCTTTCTGGATCAGCTTCAAATAGAGGTAGATCATCACAAGATATGTGATTTGATCAGATGTCAGAAGAGGTGGAACCAAACTTTCTTCATTGCCAAAGTTTCTGGGATAATGTAATGTACTCTCTCCTGGAAAATGCCTTCTGAACTTGCAATATGACGCTCAGTCATTCGCCAGTCTGTCATCACTGATTCCCTGGATCAGTGTTGCTTTCCAGGACTGGGGTCATCTTCAAGGCTCTCCCTGCAACACTTAGACTCTGCTGCCCAACTCTTTACAGTGGTATCTTAGTGAGGAAGGGGCATCCTTCCTAAGTGTTGTGCTTATATCTTCATGGATGGCTTTGGGTGTTAAACTCTGTTTCTGCAATACACATTCCTCAAGTTTGTCGGGCCACAGGTGGCCCAGTCGTCTAAGGCACCGCAAATCTGCTGTGCAGAGTTGGGTCCCTTGGGAACACCAGAAACTTATGATTGTGGCTTCGAATCCAGGTAAAGGTCTAAGACCTGCATCACTTGGGACTTTCCTCCCACATTAAGCTGACACGCCGTGATATAACTGGAATACTGTTAAAAGCGGCCTTAAACCCAACTCACTCTCTCACTCAAGTTTATCCATTTTCCAAAGGTCACAGATGCCTGCTTATTTTCTGATTTGTAAATTTGCTCAATCACTCAAGATTTTGTGGATATACCTCTATGACATCATGTCATGTCCACACCAAAATATTTTTTCCATTACGCAATTCCTTCTATGTGAGGCTCAGAACTTATCAATCAACCCTCACATGATAAATGTGTTTGAATCCCCCTGTATTCCAGACGTATATATTTGGAGCGATGATAAATCGAGACGAGGCCTACGATGGCATCCTCAGCCTAGGCCGTAAAGCCAAGCTATCCTGGGCAGGGGAGACAGAAGCACCCCCCTCAATGCCAGCAGCTACTTCTACTACGGCTACCATGACAGCTGCTACTAGATAAATGTTTGCTCAAGATGGTAACCAAGTTGTGTCTCTGCATGTTTGGTTGTTGGTCTTCGGTTGGTTGTGCTTTCACGTTAGTTTTTTGCATGTTATTGTTGGCTTCTAGCATGCGTAACAGTTACGTACTTCATTGTATTAATTTAAGATCAGTGTTGAGCATCAGTTTGGATTTAATCATTGATGGTAATAGTAAAAATGCCCCAGTTAGATAATTGTTTGGTATTTTCAAAAAATCTCACGTAACAGTGTGTCAGTTTTTAGTATAGTTTCATTGTTTTGACCTTTGTTTTGTTCATTTTGCTGTCAGTTATTGTCACTTGTTACAATCCATGATAACACTGATATTGGGTGACAAATTATAATTTAAGGTGAAAGTTTTTGTTGGAATTTGACAGCAATTTTTCTAATGAATACTAAACAAAGATTAATGACATCAGCGATTGTTCTTCCATTCTTGCAAATGGCCCTGAGGAATTCTTTTGGCAAATGTCATGCAAAGGTCAAGGTCACAAGATAGACAAAACTTACAAAGAGTTTGTACTTACACTTTCTACAAAAATAGTAATATGTGTACCATTAAACTTGGTATACATACCTACTCTAGGATTGGACCCTGCTTTGAAAAGGTTTAGGTCAAAATAAGCCGAGATCAAGGTCAGCATTCAGCTTTTTGTAAATTTTGGTGCTTTGTCTGTCCAAAGAGAAAGGTCCCACTTTGAGGTTATTGTGAAACATGGCTGTATCATTTAGTGCTTGTTACTGTTGCACAAAGAAGTTGTCTTGAAGAAGGTAAAAAGTATGGAAGTAATGTTTTTGGACTGGAAGTACAATAGAACATCACTGGTCCATGCCTTGTTTCATTAGAACATCACTGGTCCATGCATTGTTTCAATAGAACATCACTGGTCCATGCATTGTTTCAATAGAACATCACTGGTCCATGCATTGTTTCAGTAGAACATCACTGGTCCATGCATTGTTTCAATAGAACATCACTGGTCCATGCATTGTTTCAATAGAACATCACTGGTCCATGCATTGTTTCAATAAAACATCACTGGTCCATGCATTGTTTCAATAAAACATCACTGGTCCATGCATTGTTTCAATAGAACATCACTGGTCCATGCATTGTTTCAATAGAACATCACTGGTCCATGCATTGTTTCATTAGAACATCACTGGTCCATGCATTGTTTCATTAGAACATCACTGGTCCATGCATTGTTTCATTAGAACAACACTGATCCATGCATTGTTTCAATAGAACATCCCTGGTCCATGCATTGTTTCATTAGAACATCACTGGTCCATGCAGTGTTTCATTAGAACATCACTGATCCATGCAGTGTTTCATTAGAACATCACTGGTCCATGCAGTGTTTCATTAGAACATCACTGATCCATGCAGTGTTAAATTTAAAACATCACTGATCCATGCAGTGTTTCATTAGAACATCACTGGTCCATGCATTGTTTCATTAGAACATCAATGGTCCATGCAGTGTTTCATTAGAACATCACTGATCCATGCATTGTTTCAATAGAACATCACTGGTCCATGCATTGTTTCATTAGAACATCACTGGTCCATGCATTGTTTCATTAGAACAACACTGATCCATGCATTGTTTCAATAGAACATCACTGGTCCATGCATTGTTTTATTAGAACATCACTGGTCCATGCAGTGTTTCAATAGAATATCACTGGTCCATGCAGTGTTTCAGTAGAACATCACCCCTTGTTTATTGTAGATTGAGACATGAATGTTTGTTCTCAACGCTTTTATGTTTTGGTCTCTACACGCGAAATGTTGTATTCACTTCATTTCCTTTTTCAGTTTTTTTCTTGCACCCTTTCATGCCCTAGGTACTTGAGTGAGGCTGCAGTTGAACAATCTGACTAATTTAGCATGTTACGTGTTTGTTCTTAACTGATTGACTTGCACTGTGACCTTGGGTTGAAACTACTGACAATTGCACATTATTGCATGGGATTAGCTATGTGCCTGTGTGTATTCACTGTAATACTTTTATGTGTATGTTTGCATTCAGGATTCAATTGTATATATATCAACTTGTTCTCGTCACTATATGGCTGAAATAACGCCGATGCGACATTAAGTTTTAACTCACTGTAATGCAGGTTATAATACATCGAAAATCTCCATGTTTGCTTTACCTAACAACTACTTTTATGGCAGCTTCACATTAATGCCACATGAGAATTGTAGATTAAAGGAGGACAAAAAAGTGATTTTCTAAGTGTTTCCTTGTGTAAATCTCGTCAAAATATCAGTTAAATCTTTATCATAAGTAAATATTCTCAGTTAGCATGCATTTTCAATATTTCCTGTTGTTATACCTCAATTAAAAATCTTGCAATTCCATTGGTTAATCTGTACAAACAAAACAATACACTTCAATGTAGACCTCGAAATCATGTGACACTGACCTCGAATATTGACTCGTCACATGATCGGTATTGACCTGTCGCGTGATGAATATTGACTCGTCTGCTAGAAAACAAGATGGTTTCTTGTACAAACATTTCATAGTTCGCAGCTAAGTAACTGTAAAGAAACAGAGGATGGTTAAAAGACTTCATAGACATTAAAGGGAATTTCAGTATAATAAAACAAGTGATTACTCTTGACAAGGTCAAAAACAAGGACCGACCCCTTCTGCGATCCAGGCAGACCACCTCAGGGGTCGGGTCCTCTGGTCCTTGTTTTCGCATATTGACCTCAATAGTAATTATTTGTATGTTAGCTGCAAAGCTGTGACTTTGGTGCCATTCATATTGAAAACAATGCATAACACTAAATTAACAGCATTTTATCATCAAACAAATGACAATTTGCTAATGATAAAGAAGCTGTCGGATGCATTGCTCTTTCATAAGTCGATCAGAGGTGACATTGGTTTTATTTTTGTACCTTTCATCTAATTCAGACACCAGCAATATGAAAGAAAACACTCTTCCAGTACAATCATGTCCAACCCATTTCAGCAAGATCATGTCCGTCTCATTTCAGCCGCTGATTCTAGGAGGTTTGCTGAATCGAGATGAATTGTTCGACAGCATGCAAGATTATGGTTTGTTCAATGAGTTGCCATGGGCTACAGGGCAGTTGCCAGAAACTACAACTACAAGAAATAGTGGAAAGGTCAAACAGTTTCAAAATTTCAGTATTGGTGCATCGTATGACTAAAGTGCTCAACAAGGACTACACGAAGCCAGCCCAAGGAGACAGCTCAACTGACGAATGGTGTGTTTACAGAGATTAGTGATAAGGGACAAATCCTTTGATATTCTAGGGTATGGATTGGCAAGGGCGGATCCAGCATTTTCAAAAGGGAGGGGTCCAATAACAAAACCCTCTCAGTGGTGTGGGTGTGGGGGGGAGGGAGTTGTCTACACTATATTTGGTTACCCTTCTGGGCCCCGTTCCTCAAAGCGATCTTAGCGCTACGATGATCGTAAGCCTATGTTAAAGTATGGGACTTACGATCACCTTAGCGCTAAGATCGCTTTGAGGAACAGGGCCCTGGATCTGCCAATGCTAATAATTCTTTGTGACAGAATTATTAAGGTAGACATCACTTTAGGCTTTTCTCCCACACTATTTAACCCTCACTCATTCACCAGCATGTCCAGTGAGCAGTTTTAGGCTGTAAAATGTTTTTCCTCCCTTTTTTAACAAATGGTGTCTTAAGAAAAGGTACCAGCCCCCCAACCCTCAGACTGTCAAATGACTGGTCCCTGAGACAATAGCTGCGACATCCTGCCCACATCCAAGTGCGGCAGCTGTGCTAGCTTTGATACTGTACAGTTTTTCATGTCAAGTCCATCAACGTTTCATGTCAAGTCCATCAATGTTTCATGTCAAGTCCATCAACATTTCATGTCAAGTCCATCAATATTTCATGCCAAGTCCATCAATGTTGAACTTTCATGTCACATCCATCAAGGCTGTATGTCAAGTCCATCAACGTGTAAATATATGTACCTTCATGCCCTTATGAGTGAATTTATCGTTAGTGATTGTCCTCAACATGACAAAAATATTTTTTATTGGCTGCTGACTGAGAGTCGTCCTCCATTGAACTTCATGATGGTTGTGTAGGTGGGCAGATACACTCACGGAAACAAGGGCATAAGTACACAGATCCCAAACATTACCATTTGGGCAGAATCGTTACAATATTTTGAACCAAATTCTGCCCAAACATTTAAATTAAACTATTAGAATCATATAAATGCCTTGATGTTGCTATCTATTCTATTGCTATGTGATGTCAAAAATGCCTGAATGTTATCAGAATCTGATGGCCACTTTAACTTGACAGCAGCATGCATTTCCTGAACGGCGGTTGCTATCTATTCTATTGTTATGTGACGTCATTGGCATAATGTTTCTTGTTTGTGACGTCAGCCTATATAGTGCTCTATGACGTTGCTGTTTGGATATCAGTAACCTCTGTTGTGAGGTTTTTATACAGCCACTAAACCACTTTTGTGTTGTTTTGTTCATTGTGGATTAGCTACATATTCTATCCATTTTAAAGAAGGTAACATTAATTTTCAGGGCATTATCATTTGCAGAAGCCCTTGATCTGTTCAACTGCCCTCCTTCATTGGGCAGATAAAGTCAGACCTCAGCCTTCTGCAAATAAACCTCTAGTGACCTCATCCTATTGTTCTCCAGTCGGGTTAAATCTCATGAACAGGGACGTTGTAATGTCCCAGGGATTTTATTAATACAACTTCCCTTTAGATTGTAACATATTTCTCATTAGAAATTGATTTTTTATTTGAACACAATGTAATGATATGTAAAATCAAATGACAAATGTTTTCTTTATATTGCCGAGGATCGAACACGCAACCTCGTATCTGTACTTGGGCTACAGAGGTGTTGAGGTGTTGATAGAATACAATGCTTTTAAGAATATCTTTCTCAAGTTCTGTATGCCAGCAACAGATATTTTACGCCTGTTTCGGGAGGTTCATGGAAAGTATGTTTGAAACATAAAAATGTTGATAAATGTTTTTTTAAGTTTGTTTTTTCGGTTTATAAGTTACATAAAACACTTCCCCTCAGGTTTTTATCATATTTAAAACCCTTATCCTTGGGATAAAACCTTGGGACAGATGCTCCTCAGTTTTATCCTGCCCATGCAGGTTTTATATATCATTAAAAAAACTCGGGCGTGCTTTATCCTACACATAATGCCCTGAAAAATAATGTTACCCTTTTAATATTACACATTTGTTTGAAGACTTCCCACCATTAAGTTAGGGAATAATGTTAAAAGCGGTGTTAAACCCAACTCACTCACTCACCCACCAGAAGTTGGACTTGTCGTTGACTTCACAACATGCATCATCACATAAACAATCAGTGGCAAGAATGCTGTATACCGGAACCTTTTGCCATTTTGGTAAGGGATGTGGTAGTTCGTTCCTAAGTAACGGTTTCTATGTTTTTCAGACGCCATTTTTGTCGCGTCGCTAAAACAACAGGGGGTGTCCCCCACTCAGCGGCTTGAATTAAATGCTTTTGTAAGTAAATGAAATCTTTGATTACCAAAGTAAATACAAAATACTTTATTGGTAGCATCAAACAAAGATGGCGGATTGGTGTCCGGTATAATGCATGTGTACCTAACCAATTAATAATCAGTTGACTAATACTTGTTATGGCTTGTGATGGGACGGGTTTGGGTTATCAAATGAAATGCAATTGCTTTATATACTACTCAACATTTGACAGGGATAATTAGATGTCAGCTGCATTTAAACATACAGTTTGTGCATAATGGAAAGATGAAAAATACCCCTATCCAAAGTGGAGTATGTTTGCCAACATCATATAATCAATCATACTGATGGTGACTACTCCTCATTCTGAGTTATTAATTCTAGCCCCCAATCATGACAGGTAGTGTTAATTGCCTAATTGAGTTGGCGTCTCTTTATCAGATCATTAACCATGGACTAGCCTTGCTGAAAGAAAGGTCCATGGATGTGTGGTAATTCTATCCTCCTAATAGGCAAGTCTATATATGTGGACAGTAAGGACTCCAGTCTCTTATAGGGACAACTTGTTCTATTTTCTACATAATCTAGAACTTATGATTTAAACTAATAATTATTGATTAGAGACTTGTGCAAGTCTAACCATTGACCTCTGGTTTCTTTTCAGGATTTATAATGTCATTTTGCTCTTAATCCAAGAATATTTTTACACTAAAAGGAAATACAATTTGTTATAATTAAAAGCAATAATAATCAAAAGATTGCCTGAATTCTATTTATTTTTTATTAAATTATTTTGATGTTTGATTCAGTCCAACTTTGTTTGAATGAAATCTCTTATATCTCAGGATGGGATTGCATAGCTTTCAAATGAGACTCATGAACAGAAATATTTTTTCTATCCCCATATTTTTAGAAAAGGTTCATGACTCATCGTATCAGTGTGATGTGCTAAAAGCTGCTGCTTGATAATCAAAGCCTTATGACTGATGTATTCTACTTACATCGCTGGTGCATGAATAATAGGGCTGTCAACATTCTTTAGAAGCTATTTTTCTAAGAACATCAAATTCTGATGCCAAGAATAAAACAGAGTTTTATGAATTTTGTAAAATGTTGATGTCATCATAGAGTTTTTATTTGTATGAATCGCTTTTTATAGCATTTTGAAAGAGCTGTTTTCACAGACTGATAACAATTTGCTGTGAAATGTTTTATGTCAAGCCTCCGGGGCTGTCTTTGAACTGATTACGGTAATATGATATATGTTAATATTGCCAGACAAGACACATGCACTTGTATATATGCACTACGGGAGAAAGCCAGATTAGTTTCAGCCTGGTTGAATACTTCCATGTCTTGTCAGAAACATTTATGGCTCAACCCTCAGATATGAGGTATTGAAAGAAAATGTCAAAAGTACTATTTTTTTGTTGATAAATACTAACTAAAACATTCACCACAAAACATGCATATCTAATATCTGCATGACCAACAATGTGTGTCACTTCATCATTAACATTTTGTTGGGGAACTATTTATTTAAAAAGTGACTATTTTTGCTTTTATGGAGGTATAAATGTAAAAATATAGTGTCACTCTGTTTATTTGTGTAGCATGAACAAGGGTTTTTATGTTATTTGTTTGTTTGTTTGTTGTTGAAGAGCGCACTCAGCAATATTCCAGCTACATGACAGCGGTCTGTAAGTAATCGAGTATGGACCAGACAATCCAGTGATTGACATCATGAGCATTGATCTACACAACTGGGATACGATGACATGCATCAACCAAGTCAGTGAACCTGACCACCCGATCCCTTTAGTCGTTTCCTACGACAAGCATGGGTTGCTGAAGACTGATTCTAACCCGGGTCTTCACGGGTCGTTTTTACGTTAATAACTCCATAAAGGCGAAACATGTTGAAGTCATTTCTGATAGATAGATACATCAATAATAATAACTTCACATTGCCCATGCTATTTTCAGCCAACCTGGAAACAGTAGTCTGTTAGTGAGCCTGGCCTGTGTATTTTGGGGTTTAGGGTTCCAAAGACTTGGTTAGCCAATCAAATGTCACCTCCATATATTTTTTCATTACAAATGCGTCTGTATAGTTGTATTGCCTTGACCATGGTGTTGTGTGTACACAACAGAAGCTTGTTATCATGATTATGTTGCCATTTGCAGTGTGATTTAAGAATTTACGTCACATCGGCAATATTTCAGCCATATAGTGACTTGCCATTTGCAGAGCTCCAGATGACTTTTTGAGCAACTGAGTTTTTACTCGAAGGTTTCTTTTTTAATTGGGTTATCACATTTTTCATTGGGTAACCTATATTTTTTCACTCATCTATTCATCGCCCTTTTGGTTTTTTCCAAAATGACTACACATTTTGAGATTTCAAAAAAAATAAATAATGTTTTAGATGTATATGGTTCTAAATATAGGCAGGACTCAGTAAATTAGCTCGTAATTGTGTTTCATAAATGAGCTCTGTTGTATGCATGCTGAAAAAGCTTCATTTGGGTATTTACGAGTGCTGTTTTTATAATTTGAGTTTTTCATTTATGCAGCATTTCTGTTCGCAAGTTACTTGCAAGTAATTTGGTTTTAAATATTTGGGGGGGTATTTTACGCAAATACGCAGCTTATCTGTAGCTCTGCATTTGTTTTTATACAGCAACACACAACTATCATCAGTGTTCGTAGTACGTGTAACTGACAAGATGGTTGGCCATCAGTCATTCTGTTCGTAATGTGATCTTCCTGCTCAGAATATGATGTTTGGAACGTGACTAGATATAGATGTTTGGAGTAATCCTGTGTGTTTGAAGAACAGAAAATTCAAAATACATCTCAACGTTTATGATTCATATTGACACTAAGTTCAAATATTTAGTATGTAAATACCAAGACAAGTCAATCGTATGATTCATATTGATACAATTTAATGCAATTTTACAGCAGACAAGAGTTTTCTATAGCTTTTATTTTGTTTGCTCAAAGCATAAAATGTGACCAATGTTATTTTTCATATATTTTAAGCTTGAGCTATTTTATGAGATTTTATTTCATTTTATTATGATTTAGTCAAATATGTGATTACCGTCTTTGATTCAGTGAATGCTGTCCGTGTGTGATGTTGTGTGTTGTAGTCACAGCAAGCCATTGTCTCCGTACCTTAAGCTAAACTATTTTTACACTGAAACACTTTGAAAACACATATTCAATTTTTTTTATTATTTGACAAAATGGCCGCAAAAATCAAATTAAATTGTAGTGTAGTGTGTATTTAGGCATGAGATAATCAAACACAACAATGTCATTTTTGTCTCACAAACATTTTCTTGTCATGCGAGGAAAAATTTACTGCTTAAATTGTTTTTTATCTTTGAGGTAAAATTGATAATATGTTTTCATTGTGTGTCAGTATATTTGTTAACAATCGGTTGTATTTGTTTTGGGATAAATAATTGTGGACTCAAATAATATCCTCTGCAAGTCTTACTGAATGTATCTAAGTATGAATTGAAGAATTGAGACTGATTATTTTGAAATGGGTGCCAGATTTATCTGATATTTTTGTTCTGATATAGATATTGATATGGATAAGAAATACAATCAATATTCAGACAGACCAGATTTTCTTTCAAAGTATATTCCCAAGAGTCCCTTGGATTCGCCAATACGTAGATCAAGGTGTCTCCATGGTTAGATCATTTCAAACATAACACTGAAAATGAGAGTTTCTGTTTTAGTATTTGCTCTTGGAGGATTAAATGATGCCGTAGAAAAAGAAAATGTTTATTGTACACACAAAAGTTTTTATTCAATTTCCTTAAACCGATTTTTTAAAATTCTTAGTCCTGATATTGTAACGTGACAGCTGAACACTTTTTCAAAGCAGGAACTGATTGATTGATTGATTGATTGATTGATTGGTTGGTTGGTTGGTTGGTTGGTTGGTTGGTTGGTTGGTTGGTTGGTTGGTTGGTTGGTTGGTTGGTTGGTTGGTTGGTTGGTTGGTTGGTTGGTTGATTGATTGATTGATTGATTGATTGATTGATTGAGTTTATTATGAAGCTAACAACGCAAATTAGATACGAGGAGATGTATATGTATTGATAAATCAGAGTGTTATGTACATGTCTGTATATTATGTTTGAGAGTGTGAAATAATTCAAGATTGTATCAAAATATTCTCATATACATGTATATGACAGTTTTGTTTTTATATAATTTATTGATAGGTATGTATATTTGTTTGATATCTATTTTCATTCAGTTTAAAAATGTTGCCACAATGTTGTGTTACAGCTATAGAGGTAGAAGGTCTATGATGCTTCCTCCACATAGATGCCATTTATACCAGTAATGCCATACCTTTTAAAGTATCTTGGTTAGTTCAAAATGATATATTTTCTGGCATATGGTTTCATGATGCATTTGATTAACTATCATCATTAAATGTTCATTGTTACTTTTTGTTTCATTTTTGAAGATGTATCAATCTAATTTTCTTATTAATCAAACGATGGAGTGATTGGCCAAGAGGAATAAATTTAAACTTCTAATTTAGCCTTTTTGTTCAGGTTGGCTGAAACAAAAGTGTCGCCCCACCTTGTGTACAGGAAAGTTAAATTACATTTGATTTACTCATAATGTTCTAATGAAGATGATCAGATATTTCCAACGGCCACTCAGGACCATTATCCAAACAAGAACCTCTTTGGTACTGTAAGGAAAAGTTATTTGTTAGAAGGTGGTATCCTCCATGCCTACAATAATATCTTACTTATCATACCTAGTTGAGAATGGGGGAAGACCCGGGTTCAATTCCCGACATGGGTACAATGTGTGAAGCCCATTTCTGGTGTCCCCCGCCGTGATATTGCTGGAATATTGCTAAAAGCGGCGTAAAACCAAACTCACTCACTAGTTGAGAATTAAGGTATAACTGGTACAATCATTCATCCGATTTAGTTCCGTCATGGAAAAAAGTACCACTTTTGTTCTTCAGTGGCATTGGTAAATGTGCAGCTTCTGTGCTGAAGTGGCCTGGATGTGATCCATTTCCTGTGTGTGGACACCTTGCATAATACCATGTTCCTGGCCATGTAGGTCGAGGGTATTGATGACACTGTGTGCATGGCCAGACTGTGATGTTTGTATATGTGTGTGTGTATATAGCTTCAGTTGCCAAATTCTTGTGTGTCTTCATGTGCCTTACGCCAGCCCACATCGTATGTGATCATATTGTATACAGGGTGAATATTTTATATATGATAATGAAAACAATCCAACATTTTCTACGTCTTTGTTGTGTGTATAACTATTCCTACTAGACAGATTATTCTACTTGTGTGTGAGCAGGACCAAGACCTGGTGTAGGTGGATTTCAGAATGTGAAAACACCTAGTGGCAAGGTATTGTCAATGCACGGTTTCAAATATAAACAAAAAAAAGAGTCCTACAAAGCCTCAAGAAGACATCGGCACTTGGTTGGCATTATTTCATCAGAAAAAGTGACTAAATGTGAAATTAAAACACCCAAAAGGCTCCTTCTCTGGAACAAAATGACTCCGTAGTGATAAGTATATCTTAGATAAGCTAACTACAGTTGTTTCTGAGAAAACTTGTCTCCATTGCACACACTATGTAGTAAATAAAATAACATGGATCAAGGGCCATAACTCTGTATAAGCATCTTTACGGAATCAATTTTCGAACTCAGTTTTGACAAGTTAACTTCATGTAACTTCAGTAGTTTCTGAGAAAACTTGTCTCCATTTCCCACAGTATGCAGTAACTCAGTGAAAAAGGGAAATTTACTATACCAATTTTCGAACTCATTTCAGATCATGACCAGTAACATGGGTTGCTGAAGACCTATTGTAACCCGGATCTTCACGGATAAGGGCTACAGTGGGTATATGATGGTAGGTGATATGTGCTTCAGCCCTTATGTCGCCAGTCTCAGGGTCACAGTGGTCAATGACTCCCGTTTTCATGAATGTGAACCCCAAACATAATTCCTGAGTCTCCAGGACTCACAGACCGCCTCCGTGGTCTAGTGGTAGAGCGTCCGCCCGGAGAGCAGAAGGTCCGGAGTTCGATCCCCGGTCGCGTCATACCAAAAGAAGTTAAAAGATGGTACTTGTTGTTACCCTATCTGGCTCTAGGCATTAAGGGGCTAAAACAAGGACTGGTCGGCTCGGAGTCAGTATACTGTGTCTGAGTGGGGTATTCATGTTAAACTGCGGCATGGTATCTCAGTGAGCTAGCTCTATAAATCGGCATCAGTCCGGACTAGTACAAGCAGCCACACAAACGCACACACGTGCATACACGTCGCTATATAAGTGCAATAATCTTGGGCGCGACGTTAAACCCCATTTCACCTCACCTCCAGGACTCACAAATAGATAGACCCACGTAAATCCCTTGAATGAATTTTTATGTCTTTACATTTTCAGTTCCAATGATGGCGGATATAATTTTTGTAAAAACTAATTCTTTGTATCCTTTGTGGGCATTCCAAGGAGGCCAAATGAAGAAAACTCCCAGACAGATACATTTTTATCAACTTTTATGTTGAAATAAGTGGAAAACGTATTGATATTAGAACGATTTTCTTTCATCAAGTTCCTGCATGTGGATAAAACTCGTGCAAGTGAAGGATGACCCGGGATCACCATCCCTGATCCCCGTTTCCCAAACCGATCTTAGCCATACTGCTATTGTACGCTTACGTGAAATCTCTTAGCGCCAGTCTCGCTTTGTGGAAAGATGTCCCGTTGGTTCATAGCGCTACGACTGTTGTACGTCTATATTAAAGTATAGGAGTAACGATAAAGTACTGTAGTTGTATAGACGATAGGGGTACGGCCTCACTCGCCGTGGGCCAGGGCCAGCTCCTGACTATGTTTCCATGTTTCCAAGTTTTATCAGTTATGTGATGTCATCACTGGATCGCCATGTTTGGCTAGCAAAATGTAGCAAGTGCTAAAGTTTTGCAAAGCAGTTGCTACATTTTGCGAGTACCTTCGGAGAAATCGTATTTCGATTTCTAATATATAAATACAATTGGTGCCTCTTTGTGGCGGATGTGATGCAATACACATATGTGTTATTCCAGTTTTGAAGCAGAAAAGAGACGCAAGACTTCGTGATTTATTATTTTATTACATTTGATGACTATTTTACAAAACGACAAAGAGTAAGTGAAGGACAAAGTGAAGCAAGACAAAATCCAGGATTTGTCTGGAAATAGCTTCCATTAATGTGATATGCTTCTGCTGAAGCGGCGGAAAATCTGAATGAATCCTCATTTCTGAAATACTGCAAAATAATGTGGTTTGTAGTACTGGACAAATCCCGTACCCAAAATTGTAGTTCAGAATCTCTAAAGACTCGTCATCACCATATTCTTTGTCACCATGTTGACAACCCTAAAACGAGTTAACATACTGGATTTTGTCCCCGGAGATAGAAAATGAACGATGCAGGATATAGAGTCGGATGAGGTATGATCGCGAGGTCCATGGTGACGATTAACTACATTCAAATATACACCTGGAAAATAATTGAGCACCGCTAAGCATTTCCATATTTATTTGAATTTCTTTTAATCGTATCCCGTATTAAAAAATGGTGAAAAGCATGTCTCTTTGTTCACAAAGTGACCTACTCATATTAAAGTACAGAAACCGAAATTGATTATCTTATGACATACTTTGTAACTACTCCATGGCGATGGTTATTTGAAAACCATTTCAATCCTTCCTCTGCTTCTTCGCATCACATGACACGACCACCTGGAGCAACACACGCGTCTTAGTCAGGTATCGAGAGTATCTTAAATAAGTATCAAAATGAGGTCAATGTCATAAGTTGATATTTCCAAATACAGGGAAGTTCGGAATGTATAAAATAAAGGCGGGTGCCTAACGTTTTCCAGGTGTACATGTCTATATAACTACTGTGGTTAGCTAACCTTACAGAAGATGTACAAAACATATATACACTAGATCTGTGTCATGCGTACAATTCTTAAACTCCTCCTGAGGTCTTTGAACACTTCCAGAAACCTTTACGCTTTCTAGGTTCTTCTCCAGCACAAAATGTATGTCTTGGGATATTATGATTTGGTCAAAATGAATCATCCATTTTTGAAATTATGATATGTTCTGTCCTTTTCGGCTTACATTATCGAATTTTCTTGGATATGACGAATGGAAAATCGTGACATTAATCCCTGATACAATCCACAGTAATTATTTGAAGACTTCTTCCTGTACAGTTCCAAGGAAATTCACAGCATACAACCAAGTGGAACAACATACAACCAATCAGAATGTTCGATACTGCATAGAAAGATTGCACAACCAATCACACGCGGCGTAACGAACGCTCTATGGCTGTCCCCTGGCGCCATCGGCGGTGTCGTCTGTTCTTGTCTTCAAATCGGAGCCGTCTGCTGTGAACCTCTCTCCAGTGATGCGATCCTCCACACGCCTCGGCTGACCCGCTCCCGGGGCGAATTTCTGGAAAATAGGGATAAACATTTAGTGTCACAAGTTGTGCATGCATCACAGACAGTCGTCTTTGGCGACAGGCGACAAAATCTTTTCCATAATCATTAGAAACTTCTGCTGAAAGCAGAATACATTCCGACTACGTCACAAGCATGTGTTTAAGAATCACTGTTACATACTGATGATACCATAATCATCATAAGACATATCTGCGAACAGTCCATTGTACGATTCCGTTTGTTTGTTGTTGTTTAACGCCGCTCTCAGCAATATATGATGGCGGTCTGTAATTAATCGAGTATGGACCAGACAATCCAGTGATTGACATCATGAGCATCGATCCACGAAATTTGGATACGATGACATGCATCAACCAAGTCAGCGAGCCTGACCACCCGATCCCGTTAGTCGCCTCAAACGACAAGCATAGTCACCTTTTAAGGCAAGTGGACGGGGCCAAAAACAGTTCGTTTTATGTTAGTACGTTATAAGCGTGTTCGTTATAAACGTAGTTTACTGTATATCATAAGCATGTGTTTTGAAAGCTATCAAAAAGTGATGACACGTCATGGAAACTATGTACAGCTTCTAAACTGCAACTTCAAGATGAAGCGAATTGCTGCAAACTTACTGATGCGGCGTTAATCAATAGCCACTCACTCAAGACAAAGCCCAATGTTGCTTTTGAGCTGATAAAGGTAGGTTTGTATTTCAGTTTTACATTATAGTGTAATGTACTACACACAGCGGGAAATAAACATATATTGATCGGAAACATTCTGTAAAGGTATTAACTGAGAGTGTAATATACTTGCTATTAAATATTCCGATAAGTGAACAGCGATGCACCTATCAGGAGGAGCTATATTACATGCCTGTTTAACGCATCTATTAGAGTGAGTGAGTTGGGTTTAACGCCGCTTTTAACAGTATTCCAGTTATATCGCGGCGTGTCAGCTTAATATGGGAGGAAAGCCCGAAGTGATGTAGGTCTCAGACGTTTACCACTTCGGTGAAACCCACGAGCACGGGTATGGTGCTGACAAACCTAGAAACATAATCGGGGCGAACCGGGATTCGAACCCACAATCATAGGTTTCTCGCGTGCCAAAGGGACGCAATTCTGCACAGCGAATCGAGGCGCCTTAGACGACTGGGCCACCCGTACCCTCAGCGGGAGATATATTACATGGCTGTTTGACGCACCTATCGGCGGGAGATATATTACATGCCTGCTTAACGCATCTGTTGGAGGGAGATATATTACATGCCTATTTGACACACCGATCAACAGGAGATAAATTACATGCCTGTTTGACGAACCTATCAGCGGGAGATATATTACATGCCTGTTTGACACACCGATCAACAGGAGATAAATTACATGCCTGTTTGACGAACCTATCAGCGGGAGATATATTACATGCCTGTTTGACGCACCTACCAGCGGGAGATATATAACATGCCTGTTTCACGCATCGATCAGCGGGAGATAGATTACATTCCTGTTTGACGCACCTATCAACGGGAGATATGTTACATGCCTGTTTGACGCACCTATCAGCGGGAGATAGATATATTACGTGCCTGTTTGACGCACCTATCAACGGGAGATAGATATATTACATGGCTATTTGACGCACCTATCTATGGTCTACTCACTGTCGTTCTCATCTTGCTCACGACGACATCAACGATCAGGAAAATGACGGCCAAGATGGCGCCAACAAGAAGCAAGAGAAAGGCAACACTGAGATCACGTGGGAAGAGCTTGAATACTGTCAAAGGTGCATCTCTCTGCTTCTTGAACTGGGCGTTGGCATCCGGGTCTCCACATCTGCGCGTGTCCCACCACTTCCGGTGCAGAGCTGTCAGCTCTCCGCTCTCCCTCAGCTCCAGGAGGGCCTGGTTGACCTGCTGTCCAAGACGGGAGCCTTTCCGAGTAGCCAATCCTAAACCAGTTGGGAAGTGGTTGGCTCCGTACACCATGACGTCACAGTTGTAGGTCGCAAAGAAGCTCGCAGTGGCAGATTCCATGAACATGGCGTATTCTCCTGCAGAGGATCTGACTCGCCTCACTCCCTCCTCGGTTGAATCGACGAAGGTCTGTCTGCTGTCGATGTAATCTGCTAACCGTTGGTAGAGCTGCACCGGACTTGTCCTCAGAGTTCTGAAGGAGTTACCTCCCCTGGTGACTCCGACATTGACCTCGCCGTCAGCGAGAAGATCGTTGACATCCCGGAACGGCATCGACGGCAGTTTCTCCTGGCGCACCAGCAGGAAGGCCGTCATGTTTGCGATGTAAGCAACGATGGCAATCAGGACGAATATGAACCAGAATACTGCCAGTATGCGACCAGACATTGACCTTGGCGATTCTCGGTAACCTGGAGGAGTAGAAAAAAAACATGAAAGAATACTGACGATCGAGATGGATAGCTCATACAAGGCCACCATTAGTTAGAGCATTTTGTTACCTGAACACAATTGTACCACACGTTGTTACGAAGATGCACTACTCAAAAGAAGTGAAAGAGCATCCGACTCTTTTCATACGACTGTAGTAAATCAGTCATGACATGACATACCAGATTAGGGATTAGGGACCGACCTTTTAATATTCGGGGGTGGGTGGGTTGGGGGGCTGGGTTTATTAAAAAAATATATGTATATAATCCCCCAGAAAAATCGATATAATAATTATGCTGATGACTCTTGAAAAAGAAATTGCCTGCCAAACAAATTACATTGTTGCGACGTGATATCCTTTTTAAAAAATAAATAAATATCTAGTTTTGAAACTGTTGCTGACAAAATATCTAATCTCGATACAAAACCCCAGTCCCCGCCCCAGAATATGAAATGGTCAGTCTCTTACCTATGAAAAACACTCGGGCGTTCTTTAACTTCTTTCGAGTAGCATTTATTGGATACATAGGCATACTATACTTCTTATAAGCCCATGATTTGTGATTTCGTTCTTGGATGTTGATTGACTGTCAACGAATTTCTATCAGCGTTCCAAAACACCAGAAATATATTTTGAAGATTTGTTAATATAGTAAAACGTTTTGAGGTTGGACAAATATTTTACTGCTACATCGGAAATATAGATTATATCAAGTGAAGAACAGTCTGAAATGTTAGCATCTGACGTGTCGCGGGCTTATCTAACACCGTCCATATATCGTCGTTACGTATAAATATAAAACGACAACGCCAGAGAATAACGTTTCGCGATTATCCATCTTCACGAGGAAAGGGATGTAACTGACTGTAAAAGTCCGTAGCGCCACCAGAGTTATGTCCCTTCTCTGTCTCTCCTAGTGACCAATCAGATTCCACCTCTCATATCACTTTCATTTGCTTCAAATATAATGGCGTCGCAAAGTGAAGGCGATCTGATCGATAATCAAGTCTTACTTCACGTAAGCACCTTTATTAAAAACATGAAAAGATTTGGAAAATATCTGTTGTGGCTAAGTTGTCGATCGGTACACATGTTTTGCAAATCCTGCAATCGACCGAAATATGGACGGCAGTTTACGAACCGTATGTCATTTTCGAAACGCGATTTTGACTGGACTTTGCATAGACTTGTTAGTGAAGCCGAACTGTAACTCCATAATTTTAGCCTAGCTCGGCAAGGTTGGAAACGGAACCTTTGGAGTCAGATAACTTCCTTGCCTCGGGAAGATGCGATTTTGACGAATCAGAATCCATTGGGCGTAAAAGGTAAAATAGCGGTGAAAATTATATGAAAATCAGTGATGACACCAAGTGTTGCGCGCGCGGTAAAGGATATCACATCAGTAAATGTTTCCCATTGTTTATACTCCATGATTTCTTTCCATCACCATATGTGTGATACATCAGTGTTGAGGCTAAAAGAAGGAAATGCGGTGGTGGTGGGGGCGGGTGGTGGTGTATGGGGGGAATATAAAAAAATATTTTAATCATTAGTATTTTCAACAACGACAACAAAAAAGTCCTACCTTCCTCACTTTCCTCAAAAACATGTGAAACATTTATATTATGTTATGAGTACACAATGCCATTACGAAAGTGGTCAAATGTAACAAATGTTATATTTGGGGTACCACTTTATTAGCAAAGTACATATTCTAGTACTTTTTGGGGTTGAGGGATTCGAACCCACACTCCCAGAGTGAGGTTCCTACTCGCCAGCAGACAAAGTCAGCGATATAACCCACTCAACCACAGAGGCTTCCACAAAAAGTCCGACAACTGATTTGTTACATTTAAATTATTGGGACCAAACCATACCTTGCCATGTGAGTGTACTGAAGACGAACATAAGACTGTCCCTCAGTCCAAAACTGTGTCTGGCTCCCCGGGGGTCCCGGCCTGGGGGGACCTGGCTCCACTCGTAGGGGTCGAAGCGGCCGATGACAATGAAGAGGAACGAGACAACGAAGAAGGCGACAAGGATGAGGAACCACAGCTCGGTAGAGAAGGGTTCCACCATGAGGCCCAAACCTTCAGGGGTGTGTTCCGGCTTCTTGACCAGGAGGCGCAGGTACTGGTTGAGGTAGGACCCGGTGAAGTCCACTGCCGCCTCGCGTTCTGGTGTAATGGTCAAGTCAGAAGCAGCGATGTCCGCTTCCTGTAATACATGGTGATATGTTACATACCGAATCTAGGAGGATCTTTGGAGGATGGAATCCTGTGAATATCAGATGGATTTACAGGAGGAAAAAATATCGAAAATCAATTGCCCCAGAAAATTCTTAAAAATACAAATAAGAGAAATTGCCTGCCACAAAAATTAAATTGTTGCAAGCGTTGTTTCTTTTTAAAAATCAGGGCCCCGTTGCACAAAGCCTTCTTAGCGCTAAGGTGATCTCCCATACTTTAACACTGGCTTACGATAGTCGTAGCGCTAAGATCGCTTTGTGGAACGGAGCCCAGGCTCGTAGTTTAAAATAAAAAATATATAAAAATATCTGAAATAGTAGCTGTAGCTGAATTTTTTTTTATCTAATCTCAAAACAAAACCCCAGCCTCGAAGCAGCCTGTCCCTGACCAGAATCCAGATATCTTATTCAATACACTTAAAAAGCATGGCAGAATAGAAACAGAATATGTGTCTACGTGATAGGATCCCGCCCAAGGATATAACGTACTGTATTCCTTGAGCTGGAGACATTACACATGCTCTAATTTTGTTTTGCCCACAAATGTCAAACCGATTTCTACAGGCTTCCGTTCTGATTTGATTTGAACTTGTTCCAGTTTTAGGAAACCATAAATCTGAGTTTTAGACTACATCAAATGTTGGATTAGAAAGAGGAAACAAACTATCAATGCATGCTTCGAAAATAGGAAATATGCGGCAATGGATTTCTGAACGTCGATGGATAGAAAAGTTCTTCTACTGGATCTGCATCCTCGGTACCAATACTTTTTCAGCGTTCTGGTGGACGATGCTCTCGAAGACGTACCTGTCTCTGAAGCTCGCCGACCATGCCGTTCCAGACGCCCCTCGAGTCACGTGATCCGTACAGGCCGTCAGCTGATGGCCGGATGTCGTACCGGAAGCGGAGCTTGGAGGCGATCTTCTCCAGGACGTCGACCACGAAGCCTTCGTACCCACCTCCCTCCTTCATAATCACATAGGGCTGGGACTACAACATCAGACATGGACAGTGTTGTCTTTTGATAGCGTTTGTTTGTTTGTTTGTTGTCTCAAGCCATATTCAGCAATATTCCAGCTATATGTTGATGGTTGTGAATAATAGTCTGAACCAGACAATCCAGTGATTGATATTGTGAGCAACGATCCACGCCACTAACGACACCGAGCCTTGGTTAAACACGGGTTAATATTTTTAAAGCGTGTACATTTTATCACCGTCCTTAAAAAGGTTGTACATAATGTTGATATCTCATATAAGAGTGAGTGAGTCTGGTTTAACGCCGCTTTTAACAGTATTCCAGTTATATCACGGCATGTCAGCTAAATGTGGGAGAAGCCCGAAGTGATGCAGGTCTCAGACATTTACCACTTCGGTGAAACCCACGAGCACGGGTATGGTGCTGACAAACCTAGAAATATAATCGGGGCGTTCTTGTTCCAGTTTGTTTATAAATGAAATAGTTCTTGAGATGGAAGAGGAGTGTCCGTTTGGTGTACAGCTCCATCCAGACATTATCAACATCCTGTTACTTTTATTTTCAGATGATTTGATACTCCTTGGTGCTAGTGTTTCTAACCTTCAGAAGAAACTAAGCGTCCTTGAGAACTTTTGTAACACTCGGAAAATGTCAGTTAATATGTCCAAGAACAAAGTTGTTGTATTTAAAAATGGTGGTGGTTTGTCACGTTTCGAAAAGTGGTTTTACAAAGGGAAAAGGGTTGAAGTTGCTTGCGGTTATACTTACTTGGGTTTGTATTTTTATAACAGGCTTAACTGGTCTAAAACTCTTGATAAGATGCCCTGCAGGCGAAAAGGGTGTGGATAACTATCCTGAGAGGCACACATTCGCTACCTTTTTAACCTTTTTAACCAGATTTCACTTCCAAATTTTCGATGCGAAGATCATGCCAGTGCTACTGTATGGTGTCGAGGTCTGGGGGTATGAAAATGTTGAAAAATTGGAAACTGTGCAGTTATATGCTTGTAAACGCTTTTTGGGTTTAAAATTATGCGCATCTAACAACGCTGTATTGGGCGAGTGTTGCAGATACCCTATTCGTGTATATGCTTTGACCAGATGTGTGAAATATTGGCTGAACATACTGAAGATGCCAGACTTCCGTTTACCAAGAAAGTGCTACAATATGTTGTACCTGTATGATGAACATGGTCGAGTTAATTGGGTAACTAAATTAAGGAATTGAATTGTAAACTTGGGTGGGGAGATGTTTGGAGGTTCCAAATGTATGGAAACCAAAAGGTGTTTCTTAATATGTTTAAACAACGCTTGAAAGACAATTTTCAGCAGATCTGGCATAGCGAACTTCTTGCAAGTTCAAAAATGTCATTTTTTGCTTGTTTTAAAACTTATGTTAAATGTGAACCTTATTTGTCATTCTTAAATTCGCAAAATATGAGAACAACCCTCACGAGATTCAGACTGAGTTGTTATACTTTGGAAATTGAGAATGGACGACATTATAAAATTCCAAGAAATTTAAGAAAATGAAAACTTTGTAAATTAGACTGTATTGAAACCGAGTACCACTTCCTGCTTATTTGTCCATCGTATGTCAAGTTACGGCAACTATATCTCAAAGCAAAGTTCTATTGTCATCCTAACATTCATAACTTTAATATGCTTTTGTCATCACCAGATACATATATTATTACAAATCTAGCAAAATATCTATATTATGCAAATGAAGTAAGAAATGCGAAACTGAAAGCTTAAAACCTGTCTGTACACACCTTTTGTTCACAAAGGCCTGTGGCCTATATGTAGTGGAAATAAAATGATTGAATCGGGGCGAACCGGGATTCGAACCCACAATCATAGGTTTCAGGCGTGCCTAAGGGACGCAATTCTGCACAGCGAATCGCGGCGCCTTACACGACTAGGCCACCCGTGCCCCCCTTATATAAGAAATAAACGACGAGCAGCGCCCCTCATGGTTTATTGTCCCTGCAGTGTTTTATTGTACGATGAACAACTCCCACTCGTCGTCTATTTCTTAAATAATTAATACCCCCTACTAGCCGTGTATACGTATAGCAGTAGGGAGTAGGTGTTGTTGGGTCACCAGCACTAGTTCGTACAAGGGTCGAACCGTGAAGATCCGGGGTAGAATAGGTCTTCAGCAACCAATGCTTGTCGTAATAGGCGACTATACTTGTCGTATTAGGCGACGAACGCGATCGGGTGGTCAGGCTCGCTGACTTGGTTGATGCATGTCATCGATCCCATTGCGGTGATCGATGTTCATGATGTCAATCACTGGATTGTCTGGTCCAGACTCGATCATTTACAGACCGCCGTCATATAGCTGAATGCGGCGTTAATCAACAAACAAACATTAAATGGTCAATATTTGATAATTTGAACAGTGTGCACGATATCTGACAAAGACCTACTCGAAGGTGAGTGTGAGCCGAAGTGCTGATGAAAAATATGACACAAATAGAGTGAAGAATACGGCGTTAAACAACAAACAAACAAACAAATCGTACAAGGGTCACGGGTGGAACGGTTGTCTGGGGCACTAACATATGTTCGCAGGAACTCGCTGTACAGCGTTGCGTCCCATTGACGTGCCAGAAACCTATGATCGTGGGTTCGAATCCCAGATGAATGTTTCTGGGTTTGTCAGCTCGTGGGTTTTCACCCAATTGGTAAACATCTAAAACATTCATCACTTCGGGCTTTCCTCCCACACCAAGTTGACACGCCGTGATATAACTGGATACTGTTCAAAGAGGCGTTTAACCCAACTCCTACAAAAAAAGTACCCACGGGAATGCAACAAAAATTGTGATGAAGCGTTTTAATCAATCAAGACCAGGGTTCGATTCTCAACATGGGTACAATGTGTGGAGCCCATTTCTGGTGTCCCCGCCGTGATATTGCTGGAATATTGCGTAAAACCATACCCACTCACTCACACACTTACTTTAATCAAGGAAATGTTCACGATGGGGTTTTTTTATTACTATGCTGGAGATATGTAGTTCAATTGATGTATGACCCTAAAAACTTCCCCATAGCACTCAACCGTTATGCATGAGTTATGTGAAACCCAATATATAAACAACGTATTTAGTCTGCAGTCTTACCGGGACGGTCGTCACCGTGTACGTCGGGGCTGATGGGGTGCTCATCGTCAAGTTGGGACTCAGCTGAAAATAAATACAGAATTTTGTATTTAAGAAAGCCATTTTCACCATGACCGCTGTGGATCTGTATGTCCGAGAATACCACTTGCCTTTCTGGATGTATTGTAGTTACCATATACAGTTATGTAGGAAGTGGCTCTCTATATCCCCCATCATGAATGGTTACACAGCGATATCTTACCACTACATCCTTCGAAACATCCGCGGTGGCGTTGGGTAGCCTAGTGGTTAAGTGTTCGCTAGTCACGCCAAATGCCGGGATCAATGCCAACATTGGTCAAACGTTTGGAGACCCCGTCGTGATATTGTTGGAAAATTATAAAAAGCGGAGAAAACGCCGACTCATTATTAGCGTTTTTAGCATAGGCTTGTGATAGACGTAGTGCTATATCAGTGGTATAAAAATATAGGTCCCCAGCAACCTATGCTTGTCTAAAGGTGAGGTGAGGTGAAATTGGGTTTAACGTCGCGTCCAAGAATATTACACGTATATAGCGACGTGCATGCAAGTGTATGTGGCTGCTTGTACTAGTCCGGACTGATGCCGATTTATAGTGCTAGCTCACTGAGATACCATGCCGTAGTTTAACATGAATACCCCACTCAGACACAGTATACTGACTCCGAGCCGACCAGTCCTTGTCTAAGCCCCTTAATGCCAAGCACCAGACAGGGTAACAACAAGTACAATCTTTTAACGTCTGTTGGTATGCCGGGGACTCCGGACCTTGCGCTCTCCGTGTGGGCGCTCCACCACTAGACCACGGAGGCGGCCTGCTTGTCTTAAGAGGCGACATAATGGATCGGGTGGTCAGGCTCGGTGTCTTGGTTGAGTGGATGAAACGTATCCGAATTACATGGATCGATACTCACGGTGTCCATCACTGGATGTCTGTTCGAGATTCAATTATTTACAGGCGCCACCATATAACTGGAATATTACTGAGCACTGTGTGAAACAAGACTAAGTTAAACGCGGCTGGCACTGTTTAGTTTTAGTTAAATTACGGTATTGTTACATGATATTAAATATCATTTCAACATCTGTGTCCCTGGGACAGTTTGACTGATGTTTCTTTTTAGTGTATATAGAGGGCGGTGGGGTAGCCTAGTGGTTAAAGTGTTCGTTCGTCACGCCGAAGACCTGGGTTCGATGCCCCACATGGGTACAATGTGTGAAGTTCATTTCTGGTGTCTCTCGCCATGATATTTCTGGAATATTGCTAAAAACGGCGTAAATCAATACTCACTCACTTAGTGAATATGGCCTCATGTATGCTGGTACACATATGTACAAGGAAACATTTGTCAGGTGTCTTGTCAAACAGAACATCGTTATTACAGCTATTGTATACTTTGACCCCTTGTAAAATATGCTTCAGCAAGACGTGCTTACTCTTTTCGCGAACACCTGGTGTCATCACTATGTTTCAGTGATCCATTCATATACTTTCCATCACTATTTTGTCTTTTACGCCCAACATAATCTATTTGTTTAGCCAGAAAATCGTCTGGTTATTCTCTGGACTTGACTGTTCTTATTTACAGCTCGTCTCACAGAACAGATTGAAGAACTTTAAAGGTATACCCCTCCCCTCCTAAAAAAATTTGTTTATAATAATAATAAAAAGAAGAAGAATAAAAACATCTGAAACTTGAAATTAAAAAACCGTCTATTTAATAACTCGTGTGACAACTGATGCCACGCACTGCATAAGCGATATGTGTTGACCAAGGACATTGCTTTCAGTCAATAACATCCCTCAAAAAATGAATTAAAATATAATTGATCAAGTTTACACCCGTTCATAAAACTACCGATCTCATCTGCTGTTACTATACAGTAAACTACGTTTATAACGAACTGACGGATATGACGAACTTATTTTTTGTCCCGGCCACTGCTGTATATATTCTATACATACGCTTATAACCAACTACGGTTATAACGAAAAACAATTGGTGGCCCTTTGAGTTCGATATAACCGTAGTTCACTGTATTTAAGACCATGAACATATCAAGTATCCGCCTGGCTATTCCAGAGCAAAGAACCAGCGTCTGTTTATTTACACCAATCTAAATATGTCTGGAAGGGGGGTATTGTTTCCCGCTTTGACACAGCATGGCGCCCGTCAACCGGCTACGCACGGCTCTCTTAGAAGAAATCAGAAGGTTTAGCAAGACAAACAACCTTCCAGAAATGTCAGTGCCTGCCTATTATATTGTTAACATGTTGGTATTATCAAATAACAGCACAATGGGGGCCGGTTGGTTCCAGAATTGGTAGCAATGTAACTGCAAGATGCCAAGACCATGCACTACGGTGTCTTGGAGAGGAACTGGGTCACTGGGTCGAAGGCATGTGCTCTGAAAACACTTGCCTTCATTTCCTGTTTAATATCAGTGAAAGGTTTGTGGTCTGTGGGAAAGGAGATATGTGGACAAATGTGTCATTGAAGGAGTTCCATGTAAGGAAACGAAATGCTTGTTTTTCCTTTCCATGACACTTTCTCAACAATCGATGTGTATTTTGAGATTTCGCGGAAAGATCTGTGCTTCAAACAGGGTTCACATTTTGAAATTTATTACGTTTTTGCTCGAGGAATATTTTCTAAATCTGTGACATATTTCCATTCATAATAAACAATGGTACCTCTTTAACCCGACCTTCCCTATCTCGATATAGTGTTTAAGACGATGTAACTCAAAGGTCAGGGGGAGATTCTCATCGTGCTGCGAAGTAATATGTCTTCCCTGCCTTGTCTCGAGTGTCTCTCGAATAACTCGACAAGTCTCCATTACTTTGGCAAGTCTAGATTCCTTCAGTTTCAGGGATCATGATGTCAATCACCGGATTGTCTGGTCCAGACTCGACTATTTACAGACCGCTGTCATATGGCTGGAATATTGTTGAGTGCGGCGTTAAAACAAACACACAAACAAACAGTTTCAGGGATGGTGGGGTACACGAGAGGTTAAAGCGTTCGATCATCACGCCGAAGACCCGGGTTCGATTCCCCAAATTGGTGCAATGTGTGAAGTCTATTTTCTGGTGTCCCTTGCGTGGTATTGCTGGAATTTTGCTAAAAGCGGCGTAAAACCATACTCACTCACTTTTATGATTTCTGAAAATGAACAGATTCTCTGGGCTCCCTCCCGTAATATATTAAAAATCAGTTTAACCAAAAATATCGTTAAAAAATACTTTCATTTCAGAGACATAATTCCTGACTTCACTTTCATAAACGTTTCCGCCATGTGTTTCGTGCCATTTTCAGCCAATTTAATTTAAAACATAATCCTTGTTTAAATGACTGATGGCAACTCATAAATATGCACTTCCTCCTCAGTCATGTACGTGAAGGTGTATTTACCATGTGATCTCACCGGAAATACATGTTAGGTTGAGCCCTTTACACAAACTGTCGAGAGTGCTGCCAACATGGAACACGGAGGAAATGTTATCACGAAATGAAGTGACGCATTGGTCGTTTGTACTTTACTCTCAATATACTGGGAGACTCGAATTTATGTAATACATCCGTAATTATGTTGGAACTTATGGGATGTCATGACAATGGTCCTTCGGGGGTCCCAGGCGGGGACGCGTAGGTCCCAAATGCCCCACTCTAGTCAAAGACAAATGAGGATCGGGTGTATGAAATGTCATCTTCGGGAGGCAAGGGAATTAACTGACTATGAAAGTCAGTTTACTCCCTTACCTCGGGAAGATGTTTGTTTGTTTGTTGTTTAACGCCGCACTCAGCAATATTCCAGCTTTATAACGGCGGTCTGTAAATAATCGAGTCCGGACCAGACAATCCAGTGATTGACATCACGAGCATCGATCCACGCAATCGGGATACGATGACATGCATCAGCCAAGTCAGCAAGCCTGACCACCCGATCCCGTTGGTCGCCCTTTACGGCAAGCATGGGTTGCTGAAGACCTGTTCAACCCCGGGTCTCCTAGGGAAGATGATAAAATGTGGGACCTGAAATGTCATCACACCCCCACGGCTTGAATCATTCAGCCAACCACGGATTATTTTTCGCGAACACCTGGTGTCATCACTGATTTTTATATATCAATTCATATAGTTTTCACAGCTGTTTTGCTTTTTGTGCCCGAGTGGTTATTCTTCCAATGTCGCCGATATAACTGAATTATTGCTGACTAGCGTAAAACAACATTCACTCACTCGCTAAGGACAAGGTAGACGTGAGATCTACCCTGTCAGAAACATGAGCACAGCGGATGCTTGCTGCGCTCTCTCTTCAACTAAGACTAATTGATTCCGTTAATGAACGTTCTCGTGGCACACATTACACATGTGTAGAACCCTATGAGGGAGGCACAGCATGGAAGCAGGGTCTGCAAGGTGTGTGGGTAGTCTGTGTTGGTCCCCGGGGACTAGAGACACACCTCCCCTGTGGGGCAGGGCAGATTGGTTAGGTAAAGGTCAGAGGTTGCCTGTGGCCACACAGCTGGATGGATACAACATGCACGGGTAATCAGCCACACGGAGGGAACCTGGACATCTGCAACCGCTCCTATAGTACACAAGGTTATGTGCTACACCCAGGGCTTCTGCAACCCCTCCTATAGTACACACGTCCAGGCTATGTTCTACACCAAGGGCTTCTGCAACCCCTCCTATAGTACACAAGGCTATGTTCTACACGCAGGCCTTCTGCAATCCCTCCAATAGTACACACAAGGCTATGTTCTACACGCGGGCCTTCTGCAATCCCTCCCATAGTACACACGAGGCTGTGTTCTACACTCAGGCCTTCTGCAATCCCTCCCATAGTACACACTAGGCTATGTTCTACACTCAGGCCTTCTGCAATCCCGCCTATAGTACACACAAGGCTATGTTCTACACTCAGAGCTTCAGCAATCCCGCCTATAGTACACACTAGGCTATGTTCTACACTCAGGCCTCCTGCAATCCCGCCTATAGTACACACAAGGCTATGTTCTACACTCAGGCCTTCT